CGCTCTCACGGATCAAACGCACGCACAGACGAAGGGGAATTGCATCCGCATGAATGCGGTTCTGGGTCTCACGGTGACTTCTATCGCTGCATTTCTCTCTCACCTGGTGGAGAAGCTGTTCACAGAAATCTACCATTCGTGCGTCGAAGCGTGCCAACGGAAGATCTAGCAGCTTCGAGCACACGTAGATCAAAGCCGGCGAATTCGAGGTATGCATCTGAAAAGTCTTGCTCAACATGCCTAAGACCTCGGATACGGTTCGAGGATCCGGGCTTTCTGTTACTGTCTCCCATATCGTGTCTGTGTCCGCATCGGTATACGTGGCGGTGACGACGAGAAACCCGACAATATTTCCGCTTCTGCTAATGAGCTGAGGGTGAGAATCAATTCCCACAATGTACTCAACGATCCGATTTTGTCGCAGGAAGCCCACGAGATAATCAACCACAGGGTGAATGGTGCCTTCAGTATTTCTGTGGATATGTTGCCTCCAGATATGGACGAGTTCTGCCTGCATTGTTTCGACACCAAAAACACGCAGCTCCATTCGTCCATCCATAATGTGTTTCTTCAGGACGCCAAACTTCCAACCATAGAAAATGATAGAGGAACGGTCCTCAGGGGTTACATCTTCTGAAAGCTCTATCGCGAGATCCTCCGCGATTTGTGAAGCAAGCTCTAGATCACGATTGCATAGCGTGGTATAGGAGAAAGCAATGTGGCGTAGCATGGAGTCGCTTGTCTCACTCGATACCCAAGGAGACTTCTTGGTTATGTGAAACTGGTATTTCTCATCTGCGGCGCGGAGCAATGGGTAAGCACGCCTCATAGTGCGAGAGCAAATGGAGGAATTTATTAAAGCCTCATCGGCGTGATACCTGCGCCGTTCGTTCCCTGACTCTATCAGGTTATGCACGATATTAACTATCGCAATCAGAGACGTTGAAAGTTGAGACCAGCGGGTAATCAGATTCAGAATGCAGGCCGCATGGTCGGACAAGTGTTGAATGATATCTAAAGCAGCAGCAACCTGGTCGTTCGTACGAGCGACCAGATTCGCCACGTCCGATCCATGTATATTCTCCATGGTGCGGAAAAACGGAATATTGCCTAGCTGCAGAATCCAACCCAGTGACACCAGGTAGGGTTTCGATAAGGGGTCTGATATCTGGGCCTCGGCATCATCCACAGCCTGGGTCAAGAGGATGGTATCTAGGTCAATGACATGAACAGCCAAATGAGCGAAATCAAGGAAGAACTCTTCTAGACAGGCCCATACCCCCCGCCCCTCATCCGGCAGGAGCTCCACGCTAAGAATATGTTAGTACTTGGGCTTTGCGGGGTTGATCGGCAAACTCGATAGAGTTTCTCCAAGGCCAAAAACACGTAGAAGTCACTCACACTCTGCGCAACAAGCTATCCACAACGCTGGGTAGCTCCTCCCAGAAGTCCCGGTCCTCCGCCAAAACTTCATGGGTCAGCTGATCTAGATTGTTTGCGACGTCATCGAACCAAGCTTTCACGGCAACAAAGACCGGGGTATCATGTTGGGAGCCTATAAAATAACAGTCAGAATCGACACGGCAAACGCCAGGGTAAGGCAATCGAAGAAGCGCTTTACCTTTCTCAATCATCGTACATATCTCCTCCAGATTTTCCCGCGTCTCATTTCCCATGAAAAGTCTGGGGAACGTCTCCACCAGCGGCGGCTGGTCATGCAGCTGCACTACCTCTGGGGTTTCCGGTTCGCGCATCGCCTCGCCCAACGACTTCCAACTGGAGGTATTCGGGTCCTGATCCATATCTTCCAGGTCCGCCACCTCTATCTCCGGGCTCTGTGTGGGTGATGATGATAGCGATATGGCGGTGGAAGCGTCGAGGCCGGTCCCGCCTGCTGCGGACTGAGTGGGAAGATCACGGCTTGGATGCTCGACCGGGGAGTCACCAGGCTCAGACGCCATGTTGTCGTTGGGCACAGGAGACTTCAGCTTTATGACCACTCGGCTGGCCGGGCGAGAGGAGGGAGAAGCGTCCTGGCCCGTTGTGGCAGGAGCATCCGGGATGTCGTTGGGGAATCGAGTAGCGGCGGTTTCGTCGGGAATGGACCTAGACTCGCAGGTACCACTCCCACTGTCAAGACGAGGGCGTTTCCGGGTGGATTGAGGATCCGACTCTTCCATGGGATGACCGAGGGGACGCGTCGAATCAATCGAGGAGGTTGTTTCAGGCGGGGTGCTAGAGCTCTCTAGCGGGGCAGCTGCCATGACATTTTCTTAGCCCGGCCGATGGGGGACGCGACAAGACTGTGAATGGAGAGGGGGGAGGGATTGAATCTAATTTAGCTTTAGGGGAAGATTGATAAGAAGAAAAATGACGGCAGACCGAGCGCCCGCACACAAGGAAGGGAGGTGAAATGTGTGGGAGAAAGAGAAGCAAGTCGGGTTGCGGATAAGAACAATGCGGGAAAAGGAAAGCCAGCTGAGAGGGGTGAGTGGAAGAGGCAGCGATCGGAGAAGCGATAGCTGTTCGGACACCCAAGGAGGAACTGGAGTAGAGAGAGTGTGTGTGAGGGCAGGTCGATGACCGACCGAAGCTGAATAAACAGCTACTAGCTGGAGGGGGATAGAGGGATGGGTGAACAACTGGTTCAAGTAAAATGCGACAGTGAAGAATTGAGATGGAAGATGAGCAGAGCAGCAGAAGAACTAACTAACTGAAAGGTCCAGCTCTGACGTTGCGGTGGAGCAACGGATTGGCGGGTGTTCCAGGGCGAATCGGGGATCGGCCTGGAAAGTGGTTGGATGGTTGGATGGTTGAAATGATGGATAACGAACTTTTCTTTACTTTCCAATTTCTATCGCTCTTTGATTCAATCGACCTATTTATCATTCTTCTGGTTTGTTCTGCCGATAAAATATCTCCAATCTCTGGAATTATCTTTTCCATCTACAATACGGGAGACTCCGTCCATCAATTACTACTACCTACTCCATGATACATCCCCTTTTGATTTTCATCTGCAGCGCTAGAAGATAGTCACTAACTTTGGTTGGTGGGGGGAAAAGCCAGGATCACATCTGCCTAGTATTAGGGGAAACTATAGTCGCTACTGTTACCTGGAAGCTTCCTCAATCCGGTTCGCTGAAATAATTAATTGTGCTACCAATTCTCGTATGTATGCGTAGTAATGATTCCCCTCGTTTCTCACGCATGGAGTAAGAATGGACACGGTCTGGACTGCCAACAAAGCGAAGATCAATCTCACCTTGAACCGAATACTGGACAAAAAGGATCAAATTAACACTCAAAAAAAAAATCACACTAAAATCCATCGGTGCCATTGGGCCCAGAATAAATAAAGACGCATGAGGAGCAGCCGCCCATCTCAATCTGCTTTCTCTTGGTTAAGAATTCCACCCAGGCGCCCTGTGTTACCGTTGGCTGGTACTTCTGTCATCCGCGGAAAGAACAATCACTACGTCAAAGTGTTCCTATCGGACATTTGTTTCATTTCGTGCATGCCTCAGTTTTTAGCCATGGCTTTCCCTGGCCATTTATTTTCCCATTGTCCCCACCAGCCAGCCCTAGGAGAAATTCTCCAAGTAGGAGGAAATATTCGGGGGATCCCGTTGGGTGGTTATGACTAGAATGTATGCATTGTATGTCATCTCAGCTTACAGCGGAAGATACTACTAGTACTTACTTGGTAGTTAGTCCAGAAGTACCCAACGAGGTACCTGTATAGTTAGTTAGTAGTAGCTTTTACCTGGCTGCCAGCTGTACTTAGGATAGGCAGGGGAAGCTGCAGGGGCACATCATGATCGCATTCCTCCCCGCCGCTTAGGCGAGCCAACCTCCATCTGCCTCCATCTGCCCTACTCCAAACCCAGCTAGAGCCCCTCTCGTGCCCTGGAGCTTATTTGCCCCCATCTCCACTTGAAGCTTTCCAGCTCATTTCCTAGCGTGGGGTTATCTCCCATCACGCCCAGCAAACCAACCCGTTATTGCCAATTAGTGCGTTCCGACTCGCGCACCGTTGTCAAGTGTCATCCCCCATTCTGCTGGTGTCCAGGGTCTTGTTTTTCGTCCCCACTGCGCTGTCGATCATGGTGAATTGACCACCCCCCAACCCTGTGCGTCGGGGAACCAGAGAAGAATGCTTGTGTGACTTGTACCGAGTCGGCAGATTCCTTTTTTATGATATATCTAATTATATACAATCGTTGGGTAACCTCAGTGTTTAAGTGCAAAATTAATCACGGCCGACACATGAACCTCTATTCACTGGATGAATCACTGCGAGAGCATCTAGCAACCAACATGATTCAGTTACTCCTTCATCGAGGTTTCAATCTTGCGAATCACTCTCGCTGGGTTTCCCACAGCCAAATGAAACGCAGGAACATCCTAGCATGGCAACCATGTTTATCAGCAAAGACCATTTTTGACCCTCACACAAGATCCCAGGAATGGTAAGCAGTCTCGAACGTACCTTGGTCACCACACTTCCAGCTCCAATAACCGCACCTTTTCCGATCGTCACTCCCGGCAACACAATCACATTCCCTGCGAGCCAGCAATCCTCACCAATATGGATTTCTTTCCCCGACTCTGGACCTTCCGTTCCGTTGCGCACAGCCGGATCAAGAGGGTGCGTGCCGCTATAAAGACTAACCTTGGGACCCAACAAGGTGCGCGCCCCAATCGTCACCAAGCAGGTGTCGATAATGACGCAGTCAAAATTGATGAAAGCGCCTTCTCCCACTTTCACGTTGTACCCGTAGTCCATGCGAATGGGAGGCTCGATCCAAGGATGCTTCTCTAAGAGCTTGTCATCCTCGGCGGGATCCTGACTGGCAGGCGGGAGAGGGGTGGTATCACCCACAATGCTGTTCCTGTCAGCCCGGTTGTATCCGCCATGCCGTGGAAGACTGTTTCATCCGCGTGGAGCCTGCCGTGGTTGTATTCCGGCGTGGGGACATCGATCTGATTGTGTTCACTTACTCCTTCCACAACTCCAGGGACCGTCGACGGGACACGTCGCCCGCATTGTTGAAACGGCGACAGGCACTGGCGCAACGCGCTCGATCCGCTGTGAGATCGGAGACGAACGCATGATACAGCTCGCCCCGGCGCATGCGTTCTCGATTCTCTTGCAGATCCATGGTTGTATTTTGAATGGGACAGCCGGAGAGAGATTCCCTTGTTGCGTTAACAAGGCGGGGTGAATCCGAAGTTTAGTCCGAGCACAGCACTGCGGGCCGTCAAGTGGATGAGGAATCTTAGTAGACTCCTACTATTCTGATTACACTTGTCTAGCATCGATGGGAAATATATTTCCACTGATATATACAAAGCACTTGATAGCATACCATAAATATAGTGGTTATGACTGCAAGCCGTCTGGAGATAAGCCAATTCACTCTCCGCATCGCCAGCCACAATTGTCACTCTGCAAAAGCACAACTCCCCAATACACAGTATAACAAACAATCCCTCCAATCCAAATGACAATCTCTCCAGTCTATCATCTATCAACTTTCCCAATACAAACTTCATAAGACACATCAACTATCTCCTATAGAATAAGTCAACTTTTCCTCGCGCGCAGCGACCCATCACATTACCACTAGTACAAAGTACCCACAACCCACCAATCAGAAGCCCACCCGGCGGAGCTCCTCCGCATTGGATCGCAATTAATATTGTTCTCCAAAAAAACTCCCGCGATTGTTCAACAACTCCATATAAACACCATCCCCAGCACCCTCTTCAGCATGGCAATCCCTTGACAACACCAGAAATCTCAACCTCCACTACACCTACCAACAACTACCACAACACCAACACCAACAATGTCCCACTCCCCTCCCTCCCCCTCCCCCTCTCCCTCCCGATCCCCATCACCACCATTCCGCCCATACCGACCACCACCACCCACCACCACCAACAACCACACAACGACAACAACAACAGACACCTCCATCCTCCCCAACGGCCCAAAATCCCTCTCCAGCATCTCCCTCCACGCCTACCTCCTGGGCATCCTCCTCGGCCTAACCAGCACCCTAACCCTCCTCCCCCTCATCTACGGCGACCCCCTATACACCCCCCTCTGGCGCATCCCCTTCTTCCTCTCTTCGCTCTCCCTCTTCCACTTCCTCGAATACTACACCACAGCCGCATACAACACCCACTTCGCCACCGTCTCCGCCTACCTCCTCACCTCCAACGGCTGGACTTACCACATCGCCCACGGCTCCGCCATCCTCGAATGTCTCCTCACGCACACCTACTTCACCGCCCGTCCGATGCCGCTATACCTGCCCCCCTCGCTCACATCTTACCAAGTAGCCATTGGCCTATTCCTGATGGTCCTAGGCCAGACGATCCGCAGCGTGGCCATGGCGCAAGCCGGCAGTAACTTTAATCATACGGTGCAGGTCACGAGACGGGAAGGGCATGTGCTTGTCACGGGTGGTGTGTATTCCATCCTCAGACATCCGAGTTACTTTGGCTTCTTTTGGTGGGGGTTGGGGACTCAGTTGGTTCTTGGGAATGGGGTCTGCTTTTTGGCCTATGCGGTTGTTTTGTGGAGGTTTTTTAGTGGGAGGATTTGGAGTAAGTTTGATCCCACCCCCTCCTCTTTTCCTGGTTTTATGGTTTGTGGGTGTGTGCTAATGGTGGTTTTGTGATAGGGGAGGAGAAGTTCTTGGTTGCGTTCTTTGGGGAGGAGTATGAGAACTATAGGAAGAGGAGTTGGGTGGGGATTCCGGGGATTCATTGATTGATTGGTGGTGCTTTATATTGGTATCTTTGAGACTATACATAATCAATTGTTCTGGGTGGAGTTGGTAAAGAAGGGAGGGATTGTATGATTTGGATTTGTAGTCTGGTACATAAGGAACAAAAAAGAAAAGTGGATTTCATCGCTAAATAGCAAAAGGTATCAATGCTCCATGAACGCCGTGGCTATCGTAACCCCATGCTGTGTAAAATCACATCCCTATATACAACCCCATATACAACAAGGGAAGAAGCTAAAGCTTACTCTCCCTCGCCACCACCCCAAGAGCACCACTCATATACGCCCCCTGTCCCTGCCCCTGCCCCTCAGCCTCATCCTGCCTATGCTCCGCATCAGCCCCGAATTCATCTCCGTAGAGAACAAGCTCCCTGCCACCACGCGTACTCCACCACGTAACACAGAAATGTGCCCGTTCGACGTCCATCTCGCCGCTACTCAGCGCCTCCCAGAACCGTTCCACGCATTGCTTATGCATGTCTGGTGTCTTGATGCTGTTGAGTAACTGCGCTGTGAGGGGAAGCCACTCCTCGAGGTCTTCGACGCGGAGGAAACAGAGACTGTCGATGAGCGCGAGAGTCAGCGCTGCTTGTTCCGACACGGGCGGGGATTTGCCGAGGTCGGGGCCGTCGAATTGAGTTGATGATGGTTGGGGGAGGAGTTGGTCGGATGCGTGGAGTGCTCGGTCGTAGAGGACTTCGAGGAGGATTGATGGGAGGAGACGTTGGGTGTTGGCGATTGGGGAGGGCGGTGCTGTGACCTGGATGACGGTCTTGAAGGCTAGACGGAACTGTCGGGCTGAGAGGTTTTCGGGGAATACCTGTGAGATTATTAGTTTGAGGAATATAGGGGTAATTTGAAGGTAGCTTACAGCAAATAGGTTGTCGATGTAGAACGGGAGATGCTTGGCTGCTACAGCGGCGTTGTTCGGGATAGCGAACACGGCCAGGACCGTGCTGTGGGCGGCTTCGAAGATATCCAGGAGATGGTTATTTCCGCCGGCTGGGAGGTAGGGAACGGCTGCTGCAACGAGAAGCTCTTCGCTGCATATAGGAGATAGTAAGGGGGTGAAGAGCTCCGACGTGTTGAGGAAGAACAGGTCCAGACACCGCTCAATAGGATGGTCGGGGATCTGGCCGAGCTCACTGGGCTTGATGCTTCTCAGGAAATTCTCGGCCAGATCGGGGTAGTGTGATAGAATATCCACAGCTGTCAAGGTGACAAACATGTGCTGCGAAGAAGCGTTCTGGCCCATGCGGGATGATATGAAGTAGAGGTTCCGCAGTATATGAAGCACCTGCATGGATATGAACGGAGCACTGCGGTGAGCAGCCAGAACAGGGTCATTGATCACTCTACCCAAGACAGCGCGGAGAACAATGACGATTGAATACAAGCAGTTACGAAGCAGTCTCCAAAGACCCGGGATGGTGGTCTTCAAGGACTCAGCGTCAAGGAACTCCGCTTCCTCGGACTTGTCGACCTCCGACAACTTGTTCAGCCGCCACTGCACCATGAGTGTACGCACAAAGTCCGTGATATGATCCAAGGTTTGCGCGACCGGTCCAGAACCTTTGGCATTCTCTATTGCATGCGCCATGAGCCGGGAGAGCGGTCCTAGGGCAGATACGAGAGGACTAGATGAAATGGCCGTCACACGAGCAAACGTGTCAGACTGCGCCAGCCACTGGAATTGCTTGCCAGGGGCTTCCACTATGTCCTTATCCACGGTACCTAGGAAGTACCCTCCCTCCAGGCCTTCATGCGATGCATAGGTCGCATTGACCATGACGGGTAGCAAGACGTCGTAGTCAAGCCTGCTCCTTTCAGAGTCAGACAGCAGTTCAAAGGTGTAGTTGAGGACCATGGTGACACAACGACCGTCAACCTCATTCCGGGGATCCAGCTCCTCAAGCGCAAGCTGTGAAGCCGTGACAAGCGCCCTTTCCAGCTTCCGCCGAACGTGCCACGGCAACCCCTGTCTGTTCTGTCCCTCGAAACCCAGCAGTAGCCCCCCAATCAAGATTGTGTGTCTCCATCGCGGCGACTTGTCATCCGCTCCATTGATGACAGCTTTGACCCAGTCCTCGCGTTCGATCTTTCTGGCCTTTGTGTAGGGCGTCCTCGAATCGTCTGAAGCTTCGCTTTGTACTATCGCGATGGCGGCTGTGTTGAATATGCTGAGGATCTTGCGACACGTGAGAAGATCGACAGGACGGTCCCAAATGGCTGGAGTTGCTAGCAGCTGTGACGCGAGCAGAGTAATATTCAGAGGGTTTCCAAGGACGGTCAAAAGGCTGGTCGCCGTGGGAAGTAAACTAGCGAAGTCGGTCAGTTGCGTCCGCGCAGCCGAGGTGCGGAGAGGGGAAGGCTATCATACGTGAAGACATCCTGAAGGTCAGATGAGAATTGAAGCGATCTCAGAAGAGCACCCAGAGAGCGTTCAGTCGTCATGGTGTCAAAGGGGCGTCAATGGTTCAACCAGTAAAGTGGACATTAGACACAACCCAAGTGAGACTGACGGAGAGGTATGGGGAGATAACGGAAAGCAGCTGCTTCCAGTTGCCGCGGAGAACCCCAGATCACCTGCCGAGGTTCGTCGCGCCGGGAGCAAACAGTGCAAACCACGAGCTCCTCCGTTCCGAGCGGATCTTATCAGCTTCGCGACCCTTTCTGGCCTCCGTGGTATATGTCCGCATCAGTGGCTGTCGGCCGATTTACCAGGTCGTGCTCGTCTTATGACATTACATTGTCTCTTGTGGCAGGCCAGGTAGCCTTTTTGCAGTCCAATGGCCGACAATCGGGTTCCGATCAACTACCAAACGCCTCCTTTTCCGTCCCTCTATGAGCTCTTCCCGACCAAGAGTACTGGTGCATACTACCTCTACTATAACAAGGATATCTGGCGTTTTACTCTGTACTGGACCTTGATCTTCTATGGCGCAAGCCATCTGCTGGTCGCGGCCTGGGCTGTGGCCATGCAGTGCAGAAGCTGGAAAGCCTGTCTTGCGGTTCCCTTAGTGTACATGGTCATAGGTGGATTGGAGGCGCTTTTAGCGGGGAGTATAATTGGCCTCGTGTAAGTCCTCTTGATGCTACGTTCTATACTACTCACAGTGAACTGACTGTTGCATAGCTTAGGTGCAGTTTATGAAGCGGGTAATTTCAGAATGTCGACCTGGATCCCCCTTTTGTGGGGTGGTATCAATGTGTTGGTCCTTATCCTATCTAGCTTCCCTATCCCAGGAGGACTATGAGGAAGACGAATCGAGATGCCTTCATGGCCACCACATTCCCACACATTCCCTTACCTGCTGTGTCGATAACAGGTACTCACGGACAGCATGATCGTCTTATTATGGTCGAGAGCGCAGATCCTCGTCGAAACCAATTATAATACATACATAATGTTCGCTGAAAGTTATTGAGGCCACGCCAACAACCGAGCGACCTGGCATTGCGCCATCTATACGGGCCAACCGAGTTTTGAGCACTAGATGCCGCAGCTGGAATCATCTTCCATATCCGTGATCGGGCGTACTGCTCCCTTGCAGGCCGGGAAGTCCCCCGGGCATGCCAGGAAAGTTTGGCGGCGGGAAGTTCTGGGGCAGCGATATTCCTTGAGAAAGAAGCTGCTTCTGCAGTTCCGCCAAGTCAACGTTCACCGGAGGTGTCCCCGACATAGCAGGGTGCATGGGAAACCCTGGCAATCCAGTCGTAGGAGGGAAATTGTTCGGCTGAGGGGGCGGTTGGCTCGACAAAAGAGCTGCTAAACGCCCAGGATCCATCTGTGGCATAGAATTGGAAAACCCCGGCTGGGGTGGGGGCTGGGGAGCCCCAATCCCTGGCAGTATCGAACCCATCCCGTCTGGCTGTGGTGCGGCGCCAGGTGGTGCAAATTGAATTCCAGGAAGAGACGACATACCGGCCGGTTTCTTTTGGTCGACCAAGCTCTCCGCCTCATCCTGAAGTTCTTGTTCTTCCTCTTCACGCATCTGCCGCCGTCCGAAGCCCCGGCTCCATGTACCCTGAGCTTCCGCCGCTTCTTCTCCGATATGGAACCTATCCTTCATGTAACTAGTCTCCCCCGGTCTGGCACGGGACCAGAACCGTGTGAAGTTATCTTTAGATCCGGATGCAAGAATATGACCGAGAGGATGCCAATCGAGGGACCAGATGGTGGCACCATGCGCGTATTGTACCTTGTGGGCAGGGTATATCACCTGCGCCGGCGTGTTGGCCGGGTCGTTGCTGTCATATGGCGCAATTGTAGGGATTTGCCCGGAGGGCAAATTTGGTTCATCAAGTAAATAGTGATATAGAGAGCCATCCTCACTACCAGTAGATATGAGAGAACTGTGGATTGGGTGCCATGTTAGAGAGGAAACGGGCTTCTCATGGCCTCGGAGGATACAAATATCTCGCATCATGCGCAAGTCGAAGACTCTCGCCGTTTGATCCCGAGATGATGTGGCTAGAAGGTTTTTGTTTACGCGGGAGAACCTCGTCGCTGTGACGGTATTCTTGTGGCTATGAAGCGTTGTTAAGCATCTTGCTGTGCGCGGATCCCAGAACTTGACTTGGTGGTCTTTGGACCCAGACACGAGCAGACCTTTGGTGGGATGCCAGTCGCAGGATTTAACATCCCAATTGTGACCGGTAAGAACGGTATCGCAAGTCCTCGCAGTGAAATCGAAAATCTTCAGTGTTGTGTCGTCGGATGCGGAGAGGAACTTAGTATCACTGGGTGACCAAGCTAAATCGCGAACAGCATCGTGATGTGCGTCATCGATCGTCTCGACGTTGTTAAAGTTAGGTCGCCAATACTTCACGTCACCCTTCTGTCCTCCGGATATCAACCAGTCGTGACTGTGAGACCAAGCTAAGGAGGTGACTCCAGCTTGCAGCTGGTCGTAATGTGCCTATTCAAACATCAGCAACGAATCCTCGACCAGCAGGTAATCGCAACCAAGCGACACGCACATCCATGACTGTTTCGAAGTTGAAGGCAGTTCCATTCCAGAGCATGAATTCGCCCGTATGGCCTCCCGTCAGCAGGCGCCTTCCCTCCGGTGTCCATCGTACGACAGTGATCGGTTTCTTCGATTTTCCGATTGACTGGTGTAAATGCCGCACTGGGATAGTGTCCGCTGGAGAATGGACTCGGGCAAGAGGTGGGAGCATCTAACAAAGGAAAATCCGCTCGTGTCAGTCGAGGAGTTGTATCAGAATGTGCGCGGACGTCTGTCGCACTTACATCCACAACATAGCTTGCACTAGGCCTTTCCACCTCAATCTGATGACCACCCTTATAACGAGGTTTCCGTGTGCGTATCCATTGTACCATCGATGATCCATAGTCCGTCACCAGTCCTACAATTGACGGTTAACTTCGCCAAACGAAAAACGAAGGTAGAGGGGTAAACAAATGTGAACGCATCGGGACAAAGGATCGTATAACACGTACTCGGTCGTCGCGGCCCAGCAATTCCCCCTTCGTAGGATTTCGGAGGCCTCCCAAATGGCTGGGCATCATTCCCAGGGTCGTCGTAAAAAGCCATTGCGACAAAGCGCACTGCCGAACGCAGGTAGTAGGTTTACAAGGAAGAAAGAAAGGATGACGGAGGAAGCGGAGAGACAGTCGCTAGCATGACAGTGACAGGGGAGGCAAAGGGGAGGAAGCAATGACAGCTAGCCGATGCTCAACCTGGTGGTAAGATCCCCAGCTAGAGCCAATCGACCATGTCGTGCATGCAGCAGGAGCAGGAGCAGCGCTTGGTTTGATTGTCGCTTTGGTGATGGCGTTGGGTGTCGGAGCGTCGAATGAAGAGCAACCGCCCTTGGCTGCGCGACCGTCATTGGCCGTGACAAAGCCAGCCGCTGCGCTGCCATGAATTTTAGGCCCGCAACGGCCTGGATCGGCCTGAGGCCAGGCCGTTGCGACGCCGCAATTATGCGTTCTTCCCCTGCAACCCCCGCTGCTGTTCCCTGTGGCCATTATTAGTATTTAAAAACTACCTTATCCCTCCTTTTCCCCCTCTCCCCTCTAAAACTTGTCCAGTTTTCTGTCATGTCCATCGTGGACAGCGCACCCTGGTGGGATTCTGTGTCCTGCGTTCTAAGCTATTTCCCACAATTGGTTTGAACCGAGGCCAGACAAGCTGCTAAACTACAAATCTCCCTATACTTCGGGCTTGTGATACCAACTCCACTGTAAAAGGTGGCTCCTTTTCCACAACAAAATCAACATGTCTCCTACACAAGAGCCCTCACATAGCCCTAGTACTGCTATCAGTACTGGGACTGACATACACACATCCCCGCAAAAGCCCGTGAACGGGAAAGCTTCCAACGGTCATCCTCCCAAAGGTACGAATGGCGCCACCAAGACCAACTGGAGAAGGAGAAGCAAATATCGTCATGTGGAAGCCTATCATTCGAAAATTCGGCATTCCAGTCTCAGTCGCGAACCCAACGTCACGGCGAGTTTCCTGGGCTTCCGAAATCTTATGGTCATAGTGTTGGGTTGGTTTGCTCATCCTTCTTACCCGTGTATCCGCTTCTGGCTAATGCTCTGTTTCCGGATCTAGTCGCAATGAACCTCCGACTCATCATTGAGAACTTCATGAAAGTAAGCCATAACTGCGGATCAACATTTATCAATGCAAGCTTTAGCTGACTTCTCCGGATAGTATGGTGTCTTAATTTGCATCAGATGCCACGATTATCGGAGGCAGGATGTTGTGCTCGGCTCCGCTCTCTTTGCGCTCGTCCCATTTCACCTCTACGTCTCTTATCTCATAGAGCTGGCTGCGGCAAGACAGGCTAAGAATATTGTTGGCCAGAAGAAGAAGGACGGATCGACCGAGGCAAATGAGAGCGAACAGCGCATCTTTAAAAACACATGGTGGATCTCCGCCTTCTTCCACTGCGTGAACACCCTTCTGAGTTTGGGAATTACGAGCTTTGTCGTGTATTTCTATGTTCACCACCCGGGTATTGGCACCCTTTGTGAACTTCAAGCTCTTATTGTGTCGTTCAAGATTTGTTCGTATGCCTTCACCAATCGCGACCTCCGCGAGGCCATGCTCAACCCTTCTGTCGAATCCGCCCTCCCGGAAATATATTCGGCTTGCCCATACCCCAACAATATCACCCTGGGGAACCTGGTCTACTTTTGGTTGGCGCCTACGCTAGTTTATCAGCCAGTGTACCCCAGGTCGTCACACATCCGGTGGTCGTTCGTGGCCAAGCGACTGTCTGAGTTCTTCTGCCTAGCCGTGTTCATCTGGCTTCTATCTGCTCAGTATGCGGCCCCCGTCTTGCGCAATTCGATCGACAAGATTGCCGTCATGGACATCGCATCTATTCTGGAGCGCGTGATGAAACTGTCCACAATCTCTCTTATCATCTGGCTGGCCGGGTTCTTTGCGCTCTTCCAGTCACTGCTGAATGCTTTGGCCGAGGTGATGCGGTTCGGAGACCGTGAGTTCTACACTGATTGGTGGAATAGCTCCAGTCTTGGAGTGTATTGGCGGTCATGGAACCGGCCTGTATACCTCTTCATGAAGCGACATGTCTACTCGCCGCTTGTTGGTCGTGGGTGGCATCCTCTTGCGGCGAGCACGGTTGTCTTCGCTCTCTCTGCTGTCCTGCATGAGGTTCTTGTGGGTATTCCCACGCATAATTTTATCGGTATGAATTATTCTCCCGCTTTGTTTCCGGCCCAAACTAACCAAGCCAGGTGTGGCATTTGCGGGCATGATGTTTCAACTGCCGCTGATCATTATCACCGCCCCATTGGAGAAGATCCAAGACCCTACTGGGAAGGTGATAGGCAATTCCATTTTCTGGGTTAGTTTCTGTCTTGTCGGCCAGCCTTTGGGAGCATTGCTGTACTTCTTTGCCTGGCAAGCGAAGTATGGTAGTGTGAGTCGAATGTGAACGTAGTGGCACGTACTTGTCCGCTGTTTGCCATAGATGTGAATAAATGCCATCAACTTTAGCCTTTTCTTCTTTTTCTTTTTTTTTGTCGAAAAGCAAAGCAAGCACAGTATATGATTCTGTACCATCGGCGCTCCTCACAACAGAACCTTCTAGCTGTTTCTGTCTCATTCATCTTGCTTACTGCAGTTCCCATCCTAAGTTAGGACGTGTCCTGTTCGCGGTTGACTAATTCTCCGGGTGTGAATGGCAACGCTGTCGGAGTCGGGTCTTCAGGGATCCGCCAAGGATGCTCTGGATCCGCATCCGGCCGCTCTCGCGCCCCATCAATCTCCGACTATATAAATTGAATCACTTTCGGCTTCTTCTAGACTTCCTAATACCGCCTAATCATAGCAGATTCAAGTCGGGAACACTACAAATTAATAATTCACCATGCTTACTCTGACCGTTCCTGAAAACTACGGGTATGTGCCAATTCTACAATCCCTGCAAACAATGCCACTAGGTCCCATATAGTCTGATGCTAATCATCCTGCAGCTCTGTCATTGCCGTCGCTCTGGGCGCCATCCCCGTCCTGAGCTTCGTCCATGGCGCCGTCGTGTCTCGTCTCCGTAAGAACGCCGATTGCCCCTACCCTCACTGCTATGCGACCGTAGAGCAGTGCAAGACCAACGTAAGCCAACCCCAGAAGAACAGGATTCCTCGAGCTAACGTACATTCCCAATCGTGCAGCCCAAGGCTGAGCAATTCAACTGCGCTCAGCGCGCTCATGCCAACTTCCTTGAGAACTCCAGCCAAACTATGCTCTTCATCCTGGTGGCTGGATTGAAGTACCCCCAGTTGGCAACTGGCCTTGGAAGCATTTGGGTTCTCGGTCGCTCACTGTTCCTTTACGGATACGTGTACTCCGGCAAGCCGCGGGGTCGCGGTCGGTTGTACGGCAGCTTCTACTTGCTTGCACAGGGAGCTCTTTGGGGATTGACCTCTTTTGGAGTCGCGAGGGAGTTGATTTCCTACTTCTAAGTTTGGATTGACTTCGTGGGTGTGATTGGCGGTGTTGGCTATACCAGCTATATGTAATAACTTCTACTATTGTATATTACAACTCAACGCGTTTACTATGCGTACTGCTAGGGTCGGCAATGACAATGGCTTTCTGACTGACGTGGTCTATTTCCCCATGTGCAGCAGGGAATAACACGAGCTCCAATGAACCTCGGGTGTGGCACATTCAATGGAAAGGAACTCCGCCTTTGCAGGTGTGGCTGAACCCCACTGGTCGGAGGCGGAGCAATCCACCCCCGATGTGGCTGGTGCGTGGAGGGGCTCGCGATGATTTTACTGAGCTTCCTCTTTTTGCTCGACATTGAACGTTGTGATTTGTTTCACCTCATTATAAGGGCCAGTCGCTGCTAAATAATTTGGTAGTATTTGCGCATCTCTGGATCTACCAATTAGGGCCTATCAGTCGAAACTCCAAGCTACTCTCATTGCACAAGCCTCTTTCATCCCCGCATTAACCCCTCCACCGACACCATGTCCTCCAAGTCGCAATTGACCTACACTGCCCGTGCCAGCAAGCACCCCAATGCTCTGGCCAAGCGGCTGTTCGAAATTGCTGAGGCCAAGAAGACCAATGTGACCGTCTCGGCCGACGTTACCACCACTAAGGAGCTACTAGATCTTGCTGACCGTAGGCCGACCCGCCATTCTGCCTGTTTATGCTGCATGCAAACTTATTAACGGTGATACCGGACTGCAGGTCTCGGTCCCTACATCGCCGTGATCAAAACCCACATCGATATCCTCTCTGACTTCAGCGACGAGACCATTGAGGGCCTCAAGGCTCTCGCGCAGAAGCACAACTTCCTCATCTTCGAGGACCGCAAATTCATTGACATCGGCAACACTGTCCAGAAGCAATACCACCGTGGTACCCTCCGCATCTCGGAATGGGCCCACATCATCAACTGCAGCATCCTACCTGGCGAGGGCATCGTCGAAGCTCTCGCTCAGACGGCGTCTGCACCGGACTTCGCCTACGGCCCCGAACGTGGTCTGTTGATCTTGGCGGAAATGACCTCTAAGGGTTCCTTGGCCACCGGCCAGTACACTACTTCTTCGGTTGATTATGCCCGGAAATACAAGAACTTCGTCATGGGATTTGTGTCGACCCGCTCGTTGGGTGAGGTGCAGTCGGAAGTCAGCTCTCCTTCGGATGAGGAGGACTTTGTAGTCTTCACGACTGGTGTGAACATTTCGTCCAAGGGAGATAAGCTCGGTCAGCAGTACCAGACGCCCGCATCGGCTATCGGTCGGGGTGCTGACTTCATTATCGCGGGTCGCGGTATCTACGCCGCGCCGGACCCGGTGCAGGCTGCGCAACAGTACCAGAAGGAAGGTTGGGAGGCGTACCTGGCCCGTGTCGGCGGAAACTAATACTATAAAGGGAGGGAAAAAGTTTTGATGGTCTTGAATAATATAGCAATGCAACTTGCCGCAACGATACGCATACAAACTAATGTCGAGCACGGGTAGTCAGACTGCGGCATCGGATGTCAAAACGGTATTGATCCTGCAGGCTATTATGTGTGGCGCGGGATTAATGCGGTACGACGATTTGATGCAGATAAGCAGGCTGCGATGTACTTGTTCCTGTAACTCTTGCGTAGAGCAAATGGCGACGGGTGGCTGATAAGGGCGGTGATAAGCTTAATTGTTTGTCGCAGATAAGCAATGCTGGCTCGGCTTCAACTGCATCCCAACCAGTCACTGCAATTGAAGTACGGTACTTCCGAGAATATATGGCGAAATCGAAGACTTTGCCCTCCGGAAATGCTTCCTCCCTGATCGATGCAAAAGTTACCTAGACAGTCACCCCAGCCCGAGGCCCCAGACGTGACATCCGGGCGTTGGACGCCATGTCCGTCGCGTGATAAGGGCCGATCCATGCAGCTCCTATCCTTCCATCGTTCCATTCCCATCCTTGTCCTATCGCCTCCCGTGAAACTTTACTAGTTTAGTTGGATGCTCGAGCTTGCTCTCGGCTACTTCATCCAATGGATAAGACCCCGATGCCGGTCCTCATTGGTCTGCAATTGGTTTCGCCCCAACCTTCTCGCGATCTCCTCCAACTTCCCCTCATCATCATGACTAACCAAGACATCCATGAGCCATCTCAGTGCTTCCCCTCATCTTTGCCCAAGACACTCTAAGTGGGCCTTCGGCTGGGAGACGTGGACCCATTGGTTCCATCGATAAGCTCGTCGTCCGTTACCCCAGATTGATACCAGATAGCATGACATTGACCAGCGGCTTATCACCGAGGTAGCGAGTGAGACCCCCTGCGCCAAGTTGATAAAAGAAACTCGCCTCGTTGTGCTTCCGATGGGGTCGGATGACGAGTCTTCGGAATGAGCTGGCATCCCTTAAAAGGAGACAGCTGTCGCCAGATTGAAAATTCTCCGACGACTACTAACAACCTCTCCCCTCTTCCCCGCTGCCGCGGTCACCAAATTGACTCTCCTTTCTTGGCCAAGATCAAACATGGCGGATGAGAAGACTGAAAAGTCTCCCCCACCGATGATGGTGGATGAGGAGACTGGCACAGCAGAGAAAATTGACCCGACAATTGCGGAGCACGCGAAGGATGCAGACGAGGCATTGGCGGTTTTCGAAGACCTCCATGGTGAAGTTATCACACTCGATGAGGAGACAAACAAAAGGATACTTCGGATAATTGATTGGCACATCATGCCGATCATGTGTCTTGTCTATGGAATGAATTTCTTAGACAGTTAGTGTATTCCACGGTAGCCTCCCAAGGTTCATGCTAATGATGGGCAGAGACAACATTATCCTATGCTAGTATTATGGGCATCAAGACAGATTTGAACCTCGTCGGCGACGATTACCAATGGCTTGGCAGTCTGTTTTATTTCGGTTAGTCCACCACACACTACCAACATGATATATGGTACACTGGACTGACATAATAAAGGCTACCTGGCATGGGAATACCCGACCAACCGGCTCCTCCAGAGACTTCCACTGGGAAAGTACTCTGCCGCTTGCATTATAATATGGGGAGCGATCCTATGCTGCTTTGCCGCAGTCAACAACTTCTCTGGCGCCATTGCTATCCGGTAAATAGCCTCTTCGAAGCATGTTTCACTTCACTTACTGATCACCTCTAGATTCTTTCTCGGTGTCTTTGAGGCGTCTGTCACCCCCGGTTTTGCTTTGCTGACCTCTCAGGTGAGTGCCACAACCACCCGGCTCAGCCAACTCTCAGATCTCTTACGCATAAATAGTGGTATACCAAAGCAGAGCAAGGCAGTCGAGTCAACATCTGGTTCAGCTTCAACGGATGGGGTCAGATTTTTGGTGGCTTGGTTGCGTATGGTATCGCCGTTGGGACCGACCGCCATGGCTCTTCCATTGAGCCTTGGAAAATTATTTTCCTCGTGACTGGCCTTTTGACTGTTTGTCTGGGACTGATATTCCTCTGGGTCGTTCCAGACAATCAGCTCAACGCTAGATGGCTCAAGAAGGAGGACCGCGTCCTTGCCCTTGCGCGTGTGCGTGTCAATCAGCAAGGAATCGGAAACAAGCATTTCAAGATTCACCAAGTGAAGGAAGCTTTGTTAGACCCTATGACATGGGCCTTTTTCTTCTATGCCCTCATCGCTGATATTCCTAACGGCGGTATTACGAACTTTTTCAGCCAATTGGTTCGTTTGCCCTTACCATGTCCAACCTACCATGTACTAACCCGTCCGGCTGCCAAAGATCACTAGCTTCGGATACACAGAAGAACAAAGTCTTATCTACGGTGTTCCCGCCGGTGCCATCGAAGTCATCTCCCTGCTCGGAAGTGGCTTCCTCGGACAGTACACCAACCAACGGCTGCTCTGCAGCACAGGCGGTCTCATAGCTTCTATCATCGGCATGATACTCGTCGTTGCACTCCCTCTTACGAACAATGTTGGTCGGTTATTAGGCTACTACATGACGTTGGCAAGCGCCACGCCGTTTGTGGCACTGCTCGCCATGATTTCGTCTAACGTAGCTGGCTACACAAAGAAGACGACTGTTGCGGCAATCTACCTCATTGGATACTGTGCAGGAAACATTATTGGTATGCCTTTACCCTAGTTCGTATTCATGAATTATCATAACTGACGGATATATAATCAAGGCCCTCAAGTCTTCCGTCCCCAAGACGCACCCCGCTATGTTCCTGCAGAGATTACCATCATCGTCTGCTGGGGCGTCTGTCTGTTCATTCTCGCGTTCATCTGGTGGTGGTACCGTGTACAGAACGAGAAGAAGGCCCGTGTCCGTGCAAGCCCAGGTTACGCGCCAATGGAGAACCAAGAGTAAGTCAATGCATTCCTGATATTGTGGAATATCTATCTAACCATATACCAGATGGATGGATCTTACCGATTGGGAGAACCACGAACTTGTATATGTGCTGTGAGGACAGCTAGCTTCCTTTATTTCAAGGCCTGGCGCCTGATAATTCCAAATTTGATGACCACAATGTTCTTCTATGATTATCTATTGCTTAACGTCAAGTAGATAGTAACTGATGATTCAATAATGTCGAACTCATGCCACATAGCCGGTGCTTGACATTTCCTGCCAATCTTTCATGTCATTTCTTCCTACTAAGGTCAATAATACTCCCATCCCAAACACACCAGTACTCCATCGATGCAACCGTAGATAGAAAGAGGGTTTCCGTAACTGAGCCGATCTGTCAAAGCGAGACTGCGGGGGATGCAGCGCAGTGGGTCACATCCACCACCGATCGCTACCTTGGAGGAATCAAAGCCATACCTACTTACGTTGTGACCAATTCAAAAAAATAAAAAAGAAAAAAAAAAAAAAAAAAATTAGAATGACCATTAATAAAAGCATTCGCAGTTGGCGCACCATCCACTCAGCTGAGCACTATTCTAAACTCAATGTTCGGTTATAGTTTCACAGATATCATCCTGCCGGCAATATTTCTGGAGCTGATGCGGGGATATTTGCAGTAGCTGAGCTGAAACATCACTAGCTTTTATGCCACGACATTCGGCAAACAACCACGATATTATCCCTTGCTGACACACGAGTCAGGCGATCTCCGATCGTTATCATCATACTTTGTCGGCTGGCTCCGCTCAGAAATCAATGGGCTTTTTCTCTGTGTGATATTGAAAGTTGTTTTCGGGATCCGAATCCAAGTCCATCTATTTGGTGCTAGCGACACGTTCGCTAATGCGCTTAGGCAATTAGCATGGGTTCCTCTGGAACCTAACTACTATGCTGGACTCGATTGAATGTACAGAGTAAGCTTCCATTTATATGCCCGGCACATCATCGTGTCACTCTTCGCACCTAACACCAAATTCACCGACTGAGGCAGCACAAACCCAGTGACGCAGCAATCTACTATGTCAAAGTACTCAACACTAGACTCCGCTACGGCCTTATCCGTGTTGCCACCGTCTTCGAGCAAACGGTACTACATTGCCAAAATGGGCTTCGAGCGTCCGGCCATGAATCATGTCTCGCTAAACCGAATTCTGGTTGCAGATCTTGTGAGCCAAGCTGATACATTTTTGGTTTCTGTTGTGCTCCTGTTGACGACATAAATGTCTCGCCTTCGAGCTATTGGTTGCACATCATCGAGTGCACCCAATGATACATATGTTCTGTTGCTGATTTAACCCTTGCGTCGCATAGATGTAGCATAAGCGGCAGCAGAAACTCGAATTTTTAGACTCCCTTCAGTCACTGCGAGTGTACTCGCATTTGCCTATCCTCGATGACATTCAGTAAATCAGCCAGCTGAGAGTAGTATCGACAGCGACGATTGCCAACCCCTGGAGCACCAAATTATACCTCAAGATGGACTACTACAGGGCCATACTTGTCATCTTTGTCTTTTTGTCCCTGCGTACAATCTATCGTCTGGTACTGCACCCTCTCCGTGGAATACCAGGCCCGAAATTAGCTGCCGCTACGAGTTTGTACGAGTTTTATTACGACGTAGTCAAAGGTGGAAATAACATCTGGGGAGGTAGAGCGAATGCATGAACGTTATGGTTAGACTGGTGCTTGGAGACAGTTAGCTTTCATAAAACTGACAAGAAGCAAAGGGCCCATAGTACGAGTCAGCCCCGGGGAATTACATATCAAGGACCCCTATTTTTACAACGAGATTTATGCAAGTAGTAGCAATGGGAAGCGAGACAAGGATGCGACACTAGTCCGCTCATTTTGCTGTCCGAGTGCAATGTTTTCCACAGTCAGCCACGACCTTCATCGATCCCGCCGCGCTGTCATCAGTCATCTTTTCACGAGAAGGGCTGTTGTCAGTCTTGAATCTATAATACAAGATAAGATCAGCAAGTTGTCTTCACGTCTCGAGTCTATCCAGCGTGGGGGCTCCATCGTCAGCCTCAAAGCAGCTTTTGGAGCACTTATTAGTGATATACTCGGGCAGTACTTATATGCAGAGGATCTTCACTATCTGGATGATCCAAAGTTCAAGAGTGATTCTATTGCCTCAGCCAATGAATTAGCGGCGAAAATTCATATTTTTCGTTACTTACCATTTCTTGTTACACTCTTCACGAGCGTTCCACTAACGCTTCTGCGCTCGGTCCACTCGGTCTCAGACTTGGTTGACTTCAAGCTCTGGCTCCGGAAGCAAGCCCAGGATGCAATCCAACACAAAGAAAGATCAACAAAGGCCAGCGGTCCCGTCTTTGCTGCTCTGTTGAGCAGTAATGGACCCACAGAAGAGAAATCGCTAGTGCGCTTGGAAGACGAGTCTTTAGTCTTATATAGTGGAGGCGGAGATTCCACGTCCCAGACCCTATCTGTGGCACTCTTCCATCTGTTGAAAAACAAACAGCTGGTGCAGACTCTACGAAAAGAGCTAAAGCAGGTAATGCCAACGCCTACCCACCAGGCAAAATGGTCGGAACTGGAAAGATTGCCATACTTGGTGAGGCATACATCTCATTTTTGAATATCTGTCCTATACTAACGCTGTCCTTCCTTTTCTCCTATGGACCGCCATTATCAATGAAGCACTTCGTCTCTCAGGAACTTCGGGTCGCTCACCTCGAATATCTCCAAATGAGCCACTGACATACGGAAAATACACGATACCCGCTGGCGTGAGTTCCATTGCATCCCACACCAGTTATGGATACACGAGCTGATCTGACATGCCTTTATTTTTCCAAACACCGGTTGGGCAATCCGACTATTTCGTCCACCGGGATCCCTCAAACTTCCCTGATCCAGGTAAATTTGATCCTGATCGTTGGATCCGTGCCGGAAAAGAGAATGTCAACCTGAAGTCATTTCTTGTTGCTTTATCTAAAGGCAGTAGGCAGTGCATCGGAATCAAGTAAGTAATGTTCTTTCACTAGATGCAATAACAATTGTCTGCGCTGAGATATGTACGGAAGTTGATGCCGATCTTTCTCCCAGTCTGGCCTATGCGGTACTTTATCTGACCGTAGCCACCTTGATACGCCGCTACGATATGGAATTATATGATACCACGGAAGATGAACTTCGAACAGCCCGGGACTTTCTGCTTTCACGCCCTGAAAAGGGCCACGCGATTGTTAATGTAATGGTCAGGGATATCTTGACCACGTGAATGGGTGCTTGAAAAGTTGAACTCTTATCTGACGGTAAGTGTCTTTCTCGGAACTGTGTAGGGAAAGTATGATTATGTTTTGAATCCCCGACGGCCATAGTAACAAGGAAAAGAAAAGATAGGAGAAACAAAATACTGATAGAACTTCGGAAACAATTAGCGGCCGTGGTTGGCACTTCAATTGCTAGTCAACCAATTCATACGTGGACAGAACCTTAGTCGATCCCACCATCTTTGTCAGGGGCACCTTCCCGTTTGGAGGGACGTCGTACATAATCCGCATGTTGGCTGCATTCCACTTTGTATCTAGGATGACTATAATCATCATCATACATAATATCCACAGAGAACACAATAACACACGTTTGCTCGTCCTTTTCACCTATTCAGATTGCATACACACCACCTTTGATCGAGGTGCACCCCGCAATCTTCTTGCTACGAGTCAACACTCTACGCAAAGAACTCTTTTCCTTAGTACTTCTGGGAGAAGGACTTCTACAAACAGAAGGTGTCAACTGGTACCCGTCTCTCAAACTGACTGCTCGAGACCGACTGAGATATAATGGTTGGTGTGACACCACATATGCTTTCAGTGATCATGATTATCTTCTGAGTAGTGGTGGGAGGGGGGTGAGTGGATCGTATAGATACGAAGTATAGCAGCGTACTCGATACTATTCGCCGTGTGTAAGATACCCTCACAGCGCACAGGTCCGTCTTCCTTCTATCAGGCCACCCAACCGAAGATCTTTACTTGTGATAGATACTATGAATGTATCACGTACAAGCCATCCCTTGTGAGATCACATATCAATTTGTCATTGGATAATGCCTTGTTATTGAAATGCATACATGAACTGTGAGGCACTGTCCTAGCAGATCTAATACTCAAACTAGTACTCCATCAACGAACTGCTCCCGCTCGCTCTCCCTTCTTTGCTTTTTCTCTTGAGATTTCCCTAAAATCTGATGTAATAACGGCCCCAGTCAATGGTCAAAGAGTGTGATTACATGCCGAATATCAGCAGTGTCGTTGATAGATTCTAGTGGCTGACTGAAATAGATCGTCCCACAACATATGCCTCTACTTTGATGTGTGCTAACTTATGAAAAGCCCCCTCGTTTACAATCACCAACGATCTACGAGGGGGTGGGACAGTACTATCACATTGCAGAAAAGTGGCGGTGTTGAAACCGTTCACGCGGATATCTTTGCCGGTGGCAGTTACACGCTACTTGTAAATCAGTGCTCGAATTGCGCAGGCTAACTTGTCTACAGTACAAATACCAATATGCTCCCCATTACTACTTGGTTTTGACTCTCGATCTTAGAGCATTCAAGTAGTTTGGTCGAACTTGATCATCTACTTCTACTTAAATTAGTTGTCTTTGACTCTTGAGCTCCTTCCAGTTTCCTGACTTCATTCAACCAAAACATGGAGACAGGCATTTTCGGACCCAGCCTTTACTGTCTCGAACATGGAGAGGAAACCAGGAAGGGTCTCATTTCCAATATCTTGGCTATTCCTGGACTCAGAGAATCATGGGTTCCTGATGTTGGGCCGCGTCTATTCCATCCAGAAAACCCAGTAGGCTCCTACGACAAGCACATAAAGCCATATCCAATTGCAGAAAGTTTAGCATGGACACACACCCTGAAGGAATATCCCAATATTCGCCGTCCATTCAAGGCGCCTCCACGCTTGACGAAAGGTTCCACTCTTCATGGTTACCCGACCTGGGGACTCGCTTCCAAGAAGCAAATCTCGTCGACGTCGATGTTGATTGCAGGGACCCTCCACATTATATCGCACAATCCCTGTTCGAGTGTGCAATCCTGGCACTTGAAGTTTTTACCAGAAACAAGGATATCGACGAGCAGAAAGTTCAAGAAATAAGGGCAATCTCCCGAGACGCAGCCAAGGCTTCCAGAGAGGGTTCTTTTATCCAGTATACATATTATAGAGTCATTGGACGGAAGCCCACGAGTGCAGAACTATAGAGACAGTTCTCCCGATGTATTAAACAATGTTATTACTCTCCTCCTCAGTCATCTGTAGGCAACTGCTCCACAACATCGCCTCTCTACCAGAATGTACGTACACTATCTACTTCTCTTACTTACAAAGAATCTCGACCACGATTGAATCAATTATCTTTATCATGATTTACTTTCACACCCCTTAACCACATATACTCTTCATCAACTACTCCAGTACCACCCAAGTAAATTTGTTCCGACCCAACCAGTATTTGCAAAGAAGCCAGATATATCCCTGTCCTCATCTTGCGACCGGGCCAATTCCCTACCTCCTACATATCCAATCTACACAGATTTATTTCAAGCGTCTAATACATCCCTTTCTATTTTATGCGCCCAGTCCGCTTCATTTCTCGTACCCTTCCAATGTGGACATGCTGCTTTCATTCAGATAACTTCAAGAACTTCTCAATGGGACGGTACGTTAGGAACTTTCCATCCTGTTGACATCATACAATACAATGTAGAATCAATACACATCCTTTCTTGTTCTTTCTCGGTACGAGAAGGCTACCGTTTTTGCTTCTGTCAATTATAGTTAGTCTATCTCGCTCATTGAGTTATCTCCCCGTGACCTTTTTCACTAGGCGAGTGTATGCCGGTGTGAGAGATATTTTGTGGATACTGTGAATGTTATGGCGAAGTCGGGTGTTTACGACGTGGTTGTAGCCGAGTAGGTCGCTTTGGCTCTCCTTTTGGGACTATGGTCGGGTTGGAATGATACTGTTTTCGCTCCCAAGTTGTCTGGGGATGTTGCTGACGGGAGCTCTTACCCATTAACTAAACCCATCAAGTCAGAATGTGTACTCGTAGAAGTCGCTCTGAAGCAAATGAAGCCACAACCTAGAAGCCAAGCGACCAGCAAATGAAGGCTTTCATGCTACTCTTCTGAACTCGACGATCAGCCAACCAACGTTCCGTCTGCTTTACATAGTTACTACGCGTCCAGTTATTGCACATAATATGGCTTAATTCAGTGATGGTCTATCTTGAAAGTGTACTAGACAGCTCCTCTAAACTGATAACTTTCCATTGCAGTGTGTGTCCCAGGAAACAATCTAGTGCTCAGTCAGTCACACTGGTCTCCTAGAAATAATCCACTGGTGGCAGTTTACCTACCAAACGATGGGTGATCATACTCCACCACAACAGCCTAACCGGCCCGTGTTTCGTTGCAAGGTTATGCGAAAAGATCAATCAGTCAGTTATGCTTTCAACCCTTCACCCTATCATCAGACATTACTTACACACCCCCTCCCCCGTGTCCGATGTCCCAGGCCCGTCCCAGCCGCCCAACCGAGGCCTGGTTTTTCGAAGCGTGCTGCAGATGGTGTAGTCTGTCAGCTCTTTTCCCAACACCAAGCCACGATATAACAACGACTTACACAACCCAAAGCCCCCCTCCCCGTGTGCGATGACCCAGGCCCGTCCCTGCCACCCAACCAGGGCCTAGTCCACCGCAGTGGTGAACCCTACAGATGTCAGTCATACATACTATCAAGAAACCACTGATGACTTGGAAGACTTGCAGTATGAAGGATGTTGGATCCTATGTCCCAGGCCCGTCCCAACCGCCCATCCGAGGCCTGGTCCACTGCAGTGGTGAACCTGTAAACAGTCAACCACAAGTTTATCCAGGATAATGAGCTAGAAGACTTACTGTGCTGTTGTGGTTAGTCGGTATCCCAAGCCCTTCCCATCCACCCAACCAGGGCATGGTGTTTTGTCGGGTAACTCTCTACAGTCAGTCGATAATGCAGTCTTGCCCCAACACTGCGAATCTAGCAACTTCACTTCCATAATACCAACCCCCCTCCCCTTCCGTGTCCGATGTCCCAGGCCCGTCCCTGCCACCCACCAAGGCCTGGTTCACCACTGCAGTGAACCCTGTAGAAAGTGAGCTACACCTTCAGCTAGAGGGCCGTGTGTTGGATGACTTACTTTGCTGTTAAAGTTAGTAGATCCCAGGCCCGTCCCTTCCACCCAACCAGGGCCTGGTTCACCACTGCAGTGAACCTGGATAAAGTCAGCCACAACTTAGTCCAAGAGCCATTAACTGTAAGTCTCACTGTGTTGTATGTGGCGAGTTGTTGTCCCAAGCCCGTCCCAGCCACCCATCCAGGGCCTGAGGTTCACCACTGCAGTGAACTCTGTACGTGGTTAGTGACAAACTCCAACAAACAAACAGTCAATGAAAAGACTCACTGTATGATGGATGTTGAATCCGATAACCCAAGCCCGTCCCTGCCACCCATCCAAGGCTTGGGTTGTTGGAGCGGTAAAACCTGAATAGTCAGCCAATTAGGATCAGTGAGATGGGAATGGAAATACTTGCCAGTGCTGTGTTGTCGAAGTCTACAACTACGTTCCAAGCCCGTCCCTGCCACCCAGCCAGGACCTGGTTCGCTCCACCATGAAGGTAAAGGCAGTCAGTCCTTATTACCATATAAAAGCCGAAGATCGAGTTACTTACTTGATCCAAACCCTCCACCCCCCGTGTCCGATGTCCCAGGCCCTTCCCAACCGCCCAACCGAGGCCTGGTTCACTGTGTGAACCCAGCTAAATGTCAGAAACTATTATATAGAGAACTGAAAAAGGAGACTAACTGTGTGTTGGATGTTGAATCCGGTGATCCAGCCTGTGCCAGCCAGCTAACCAAAGCAGGGCCTGGTTCGCTGGAGGCTGCAGAAAGTCAGCCACACTGCTATCTGTGAGCGATGAATGAGAGGACTTACCCCAGTGCCGGGTCACCGAAGTGACCCAACCCGTCCCTACCAACCAACCGCGCCTTGGTTCGCTCAAGGCTGTAGAGGGTCAGTCACACTGCTATCTGTGAGCCATAAGTGGGAAGACTTACATCTAGTACTGAGCCGATGTCTACGTGCTACGACCCAAGCCCATCCCTGCCACCCAACCAGGGCCTGGTTTGTTGTTGAGGTCTGTAGTAGACACGGAGTCAGTTATTTATCCAGATAAGTCAGAGTCATGTTCAGGAACACGAGTACTTGCCGTGTCGTAAAAGTCGAAAATACAATGGCGACTTATGACCTTCGAGGCCCGACCCATTCACCCAACCGATGTTGGATGAAGCTTTTCAAGAAGACTGTACAAAGTCCGTCATGCCCAGATGTGGCAGCTGGTATGACACTGCTTTGTGTCCGATGTCGACAGCTAAATTGCGTCGAATATCCCAGGCCCGTCCCTGCCACCCAACCAGGGCCTGGCTTTTTGCTGAAGCCTGCAGAATATTAGACATGCACGTGCAAGGAGAGCTGTGGTTGGAACACTTACTGTAAGCCCCTGTGTTAAAACCGAGCAGGTATATATAATATGGTCTTCCAGGCCCATCCCATCCACCCATCCATGAGGCCAGAAGTGTTGTCGCGCCTGTGAAGAGTCAGTAAGCGGGTAGGCAAGTCAGGGAATACTCAGTAGTTACTGTGTTGTATGTGGCGAGTTGTTGTCCCAGGCCCGACCCATCCACCCAACCATGGGGCCAGAGAAGTTGTCGCGCTTATTGGAAGTCAGCAAAAAAGCGAAGTTCAGCTCAAGAGTACTCACTGTGTCGTATATAGGAGTAAGTATATATAATAGGGTCTTCCAGGCCCGTCCCATCCACCCAACCATGAGGCCAGACCCGTATGAGTCCTAGACGAAGTCAATACTAACTATGTAAACATATCAGAGAATACTCACTGTGTTGTGTTGTCGAGTTGTGCTCTGTTGTCCCAGGCCCGTCCCTTCCACCCTACCGCGGGCCAGAAGTGTTGTCGCGCCTATGATGAGTCAGTAAAACAGGATTTCAAGTCAGGGAACACTCACTGTGTTGGGTTAGAAAGTAAGTATATATAACCCAGGCCCGTCCCTGCCACCCTACCTTGGGGCCAGGTATGTTGATGAGCCTGTGCAAGATTAGTAAATCAAAAGTCATTGTGGAAGCCAACTAGGATGTAGTCACTGTGCTGTTAGATCGCAGGTGCGTATCATAATATAAGGTCTTCCAGGCCCAGCCCATCCACCCAACCATGAGGCTAGACCCGTTATGAGTCCTGTGCGGGTCAGTAAATCGGCAGTCAAGTCAGGAGTACTTACTGTGTTGTGTGTGGCGTGTTGTTGTCCCAGGCCCGTCCCATCCGCCCAACCGAGGCCTGTCGCGTGTGGGTGTTCTGTACCGGTCAGCCAGTATGATCAGAAGCTCATCAGGGAAGTACTCACAGGTCTACAGTGTATAGTTGAGTGTCGCTACCCTGGCCCATCCCATCCACCCAACCGAGGCCAGTCGCGTGTGGGTGTTCTGTATAAGTCAGCCATTTTCAGCAGCTAATCCGGAGGATAGTACTCACTGGTCTACTGTGTCTAGTTGAGTGTCGCTACCCTGGCCCATCCCATCCACCCAACCTAGGCCAGTCGCGTGTGGGTGTTCTATAAATGTCAGCCACTATCAGTAGATAACTGGGGATACTCACTGGTCTACTGTGTCTAGTCGTGTGTCGAGATGTCCCAGGCCCGTCCCGTCCACCCAACCTAGGCCAGTCGAGTTTGGGTGTGCTATACCAAAGTCAGTCACGCTCAAAAACAGAAAGGCAAGACGCATAGGGAATAGATGAGTGGGTAGATGACAGGAGATAGCTGGGATTGCCTACTAGAAGATCTGGAAGGTTAGTTGGTAAGTAAAGGCAGGCTATGTGGCAGAAAGATGTCAGTAGATGGCAAAAATGGCAGAAATGGCAAGTAGATGGCAGGAGATGACAGGAGATGACAGGAGATGGCAGAAGATAGCAGGAAATGGCAGATATATGTCAAGAGATGGCAGATAGATGAAAGTAGATGTCAAGAGATAGTAGAGAGATGGCAAGTAGATGAAAGTAGATGGCAGATAGATGTCAAGAGATGGAAGAGAAGATGAAAAGGAGAAGAGGAAGAGAAAGGCAAAGAGATGGCAGAAATATGTGGGAGAAGAAGTTTCCAGCCTCCCTGGGGGGAAAGGGAAGAGTTTTAAATACCAGTGAATCTTTCCCTTACGACATGGTGAATAAACCAGCTTGATGTGACGCTGTCACAGTTCTGAGTTCATCGTAGCAATCCCATGAAAATCTCAGCAGATTTGGACGTGAATGTAGTATTGTTAGCATCAGGATTCTGCAATATGAGGGAGTTGGGTACTAACAATAGGTCCTATAGCTCTGCAAATCCATGGAAAACGCTTGTAGATGAGTCCAAAACGAAAGTATATAGCTAGAAGGCTCTGTCTGTATATCCTCATAGATTGTCAAGATTGCAGCTTGGTTCTCCTTGGGTTGTGTCGGGGTGTGAATGGGAAGAAGCTGGAGTGAAGTGGGCGACGAAGAGTCAGTCTACTATGGGAGTAACACCTGCCGTATCGGGCAACGAGACGCGACTACCTCGTCCTGTCACTTCACGAGCAGAACAGCCTCGATACCGAGATAAAGGACTACAGTACAGTATAATACAACAAGACGAGTGTTACTGCTCTATCCCTACAATGGGAGTAGGAGAATTCACGTTTTGTAGGGAAGTGTTTACTCTCGAGGTATAGTCGCTATAGTTCTGTTGAATGAATTCCATGGTACTACAACCGAGAGCCAAGGTTTTGACCAGGTTTGGTCTAAGTATAGGATTGAGGCTCCTGCCCAGTGAAGTATACTAAATCCAGCTGGGTATTACTAGTAACATAGCAATATGATTCTCCCTGGTCTATCGTCGGCCAGGTTCACAAAGATTAATGAGCCTTTAGCAAGCGAGTCTGTAGCAGCTGAAGACCTTTGCGACTACACTAGAAGAATTAACAGATCCTACATGATAACAGCTGCTGAAATATATATCTGGTTATCCTGAAGCAAACGGAAGCTGTCGACACCTGCGAATTTGAGGTAATATTTCGGGCGTATCAAAACGAGCCTCGAACAGCGGAGGTGTATTCCGGCTGCCATCACCATTAAATAAGGGACTTTCCGACAGGTTGCTATAGAGAGAACTGGGCCAAAAAATAGAAGGGGCAGCCGTTCGTATATTGTACTATACCAGTACTGTAGCACGGCTTCCTGAGTCTACGAGACATACTGACGTTATAGTAGGAATGCAATTCCACTTGATTATGTCGATATTACTACATCGGGCTACAAAATATATACTACTAATACTACAGACCACTAAGCGGCAGCCAGCCTTCCGAGACTACTAGAAAGCAGATGATAGTATAATAGTAATATCTTAAAGGAACAGAATTAGTAGAATTAGTTCTACAAGACTATTCAGGTTATATACCACGTAGATATAATCCCAGCACCCATGCTGGCAATCCACGTGCTATCTGTCTCAAGACCTTTCGACACGTTATATGCATGCAGACCAACAGAGACATATAGAGAAAGGCCGAGCGTAGGGCATGCCAAGACGTCACTAGTGGTGGAAAGCCAAGATCGACGGTAGCCACGCAGCTTCGGGAATTATCTGGCCGGGGGGGTTTCTCGAAGATTGTCAATCGATTGGCTAGTATTGCATCCCCGGGTTAGTAGTGCACTTGAGTATGGAGAAGGCACAGCGGGAATGGGATGTATCTCGCCTGAGCGACCAAAGCAGTACACTTCTGAATCTCACGAAAGATGAAGATCACAGGATTGCGGTGTGGTGGAAGTCATTGGAGGACAATGGCGGTAAGTGAAACTGCAATGCTGGCACATGAGATAGCGCCGATGTGGTTTGGGAAGCAGGAAGTTTTAAGTTTGTGTGCCATACGGGCGCTTGGAAGGTTCAGTCAGGCAACAAGCTACATGAGGGAGGATACCCAAAATTGCGGCAGAACTTGGATGCAGTGTCGATAGTAGTAGTAATCTGCAGGCAGCGTCATGGTGGGGTTTCCACAACAGGGAATATTACTGTTTGAGATAGCGCTTACTGGATTCTTGGAGGAGGGGAGGATGTCTGGGGAGAATTTGAGACACACACACCACTCCCACTTACAAATTGAGAGAACTGATTTCTGTAGAATCTATCAAAACGAGTATGCTATCTTCAATTACGGTAAATTTCTACCAAGCAGACAGACTATTCCATAAATTATTGTTGAATCCATCTGCGCCTGCAATAACTGGCGGTGAAAAAGCAGAAGCCGTGGAATGAGCGACGGGCGGGGCGCCGAACCACAGATTGGCTGGCAGGGAGACACTAAGTCGATAGTAGTAGTAAACAATCCAATGGATTCGCTTCACACCCCCGGGTGGACGCAGTCTGGATCCCCAATGGCCCCCCCTCTTTGCAAGCAAGGGAAGTACTTAGTAACCTAAGTACTTTACTGCCAATCTGCCAGGGCAATTGATGGTGCAATCATCCAGCTCACTAACATTCACACCATCGCGTGGAAGGATTTAGCTGGAGGGGCTAAACGGGGACACTAGAATATTTCCACGGGTGGGAAACTCCAAAAGGTACCTTGATCCCCCCCCCCCCCTGGTGGCTGATGGTGCTGATTGGAGACCATCACTCCATTGACATGCAGGGACATGATCCAACTATTATCCGTTAGTCTTATTGGTGAACTGCAAGGGGGAGGAAATCTCACCAGCAGCAGCACTCACAAACACACAACATGGGGGTGGTGACATGCCCCGCTGCAAAGAAGAGAACAAGAAAGAAAAACAAAAACAACAAATAAAAGAACAAAAGATGATAGATCGGTCTTTTGGACCTATCACACTGAATCTTCAATAGTATTAACTTTCGGGCGGGAGACTACTATGCGGGGAGTCTTTTTTCTTTCTTTGGGCCTTCAAAGCAAGTGTTTCGATTTCTCATTATGCTTCGTGCTTGACTAGTTAGGGACGGGTTTGCTGAACTGGCGTCAACCCCGATTCTACACAGGGATACGATCATCTGGCAGTTCCACCCTCTTAAACTAAAAGTAGCCCGTGTTTAATGACTGAACCGGTTTGGTCTGCCGCCGGGGAGGGTCTTGCAGGCGCTTGCAAAGAAACTAAAATCGAAGTTGGCATGCCTGGTCGGTGAATCTTTAGTTCATCTGTCGTAGTCTAGTTCTACTTATAATAGGACCTGTCTCGAACCCACCCCTAGTTAACTAAGTATCTATCTATTCATCCCTTCCTTGCCAGGTGCATTCATTCATCCCGCAAATCTTCCTCCTTTGTCTTTCATTTTCTTGGAGCAAACAACCCCTACACTGTACATCGTGACTATCCCTAAAACGTGCTGATGATCCTCGTGTTCTGAAGATCGACTGACCCTCATCATTTGTCCCTTGCCAGCAGCCAACTTTCCCCCCTCCCCTCCCCTCTCAGAACCCTAATCTTATCGGGTTCTTTCTGTCCTCCTGACATACTCCCATAGAACACACCCTTTTCCTCCTTTCGTTTTTCATTTTTACTCTCTACCCCATCTTTATTTCGATCGCTTTTCTCCTATTTCTGTTTATAGCACAAGCATGTTCACCCGCTGTTGATCGCGCATTCTTCACTGCTCTCCTGACTGGTGCCATTTGGCAGGGAGCATGTGAATCCGGCTGGACCGCGTCATTCTTCAGTCAAACACATCCCCATCCCGCTACGGTTCTCGGCCCTGGAAGTGCAGGCCAGGCACAGGCACAGGCACAAATAACGATGGCGGCCACGTTCACATGCCAGCGCCCCGATCTTCCTGGTGGCTCTTCCAACCATCGTCCTCTTTCTCCTACGATCTCTTCCCCACCGCTCAGCCCAGCGCCAGAGCATACATCTACACCTACACCTACACCTACTTCCTATTTGATGACAAAAGTCCCTTCTCTCTCCATCGTCTCACCCGGTGTGAACGACCCTGATACAAAAGAAGTATACGCCACTACCCTCGAAGTCACCGATATCACCGTGGGGGCAGGCAGTCCGCCCATCGTATCTATCCCAGTAGTCGATGGGCAGCTCTCCGACGGTATGGAGACCACCACCACAACTACTCCATCATCTTCCACGAAAACAAATAGTCGACGCACCTCCAAACGCAAAAGAACAACCTCACCTCCATCACCAACAACAACCAAATCTCCCGAGCAGCTTCACTCATCACGACGCTCCAGCCCTCACAGCCAACACAGCTCTCTCCACTCACACCGCCGCTCCGCAACCACAGCTTCTATAACACCGATATCCGATCGAACAGCCCGGCGTGAAGACCTGATAGCTCTGCATCGTGAATCATGCCGTCTATTCCAAGACGATGGCCTCTCTACATCTAAACCTAGCCCACGAGCATCAGCATCAGCATCAGAATCTCGACCCCCATCTTCCAGCACATCAGGCACTCCTCCACGCCCTCTGCGCTCTGCATCCAACGCCAGCTCCCCACCCACTCTACGAACACCACTCTCCATCTCGACCTACCAAGACCAAAGCAACCAAAACGACTCCCCACGGGGTCCAATCCGCGCAGCTACCTTCTCAGCCTACGAACCAGCATGCACTTCACCCGTGCAACCCACAGTCACAGTAATCGACTGGACATCGCCCTCCACACGGAGGCGCGAATACGAAAAGATCGACCGCGCCAGCAGTGGAGTACGTGGATTCTGGCGCCGAGTAGCGCCGCGATGGTGTCAATTCGGAGACCACCGCACGCCGTTCTTCGAAGAGGGCAAGGACGGGAAGGGGAACTATGAGGGGAGTGTACGACGATTCCGCATGGATTTACCAGAAGAGTGCGAGAGTAAGCGGGGAGGGACCCTTCTGAAGGGTTTCAAGTTAAGCCGGAAGACGGTGATTCATCGAATGGGAGGGAGAGTGAAGACTGCTTAACCATTTCCTGGAGTATAGCCTTAGTTGTTGTTATCAGTCCCAGCGTGCTTTATTTCCGGCGGATGATTGATTGCATTTGATACCCTGCTAGATGCATTCTTTATAATGATATACGAATCATACAGACACAACACCGTAACCAGTATGCATATGCATCTATTCAACACAGCACACGCATAACATAGCAGTAATATAGTAGTATATTACAAAACACAAGTGACTTTTCCATAGAACTCCAAACAAACCCCAAATCACACAACACACACAGATTGAAATAACATGAAATGGATAAAGGTATCACAACATATCAAAATCATCCAAATTATCCCGATATTGCATAATACTCCTCTTAATCTTGGAAGAGTCGACCCAAGTCACGAAATCCTCCAAATTCCTCGTAACAAGGTACGCCGGATCCGTAACGACCTCCGTTCCGACGCGAACATGGCCTTGTTCGATGAAGGTGACAGCCTGAAGCAGATTAGCATAACCGTTACACTCCCTTTACCCCCCCCCCCCCATTCATCCCAAAGGGAAAAGAAAGACTTACAGTCTTAACATTCTCCACCATCCCACTCCTCGTCATCCACACCGCAAGTCTCCTCCGACAAAACGCACTAACCGTAACCTCCCTCTCAACCCTCGAAAGCCCCGCCCCCTGTTCGCGACTCTGCTTCAAAATGCCCATACGGAACAACTTATCCAGCACCTCGGACTCCAGCTTCTTGCGGACAGGATCACTCTCAGGGTCCAGTTCGGATAGCTTGTGGGCTAGTTGGCGTAGGGATCCGCATAGCTGGTTGTATTTGCGGTAGTCGAGGGGGTCTTGCAGGTGGTAGCGTGTGCGGATTTGCGATTCGCGGTGGTTGTTGTCGGATTTGTAGGTGTGGAAGTCGACTTTGCGGAGGAGTTTCTTTTCGTGGTGTTTGAGGGCGCGGGGCATTTTGGTTGATGATTTATCTCCCGGGAGAGGGGATGTTTCGGAGGGAGGGTGTGGTGGTAATAAGAAAAAGGTGGAGGGTGAAGGGGAAGGTGAAGGTGGTGATGGGTTGGTTTGGCTGATAAGAAAATTTTGGGGATAGGATTATTGGAGAGGTGGATTTGTCGGGTAGAATGGGTGTGCTTGGGGGTGAGGGGGGTTTGTGGTTGGTTGGGAGTGGGGCGGTGTGTAGGGCGGTGGGTATGTTTGGTGGTGTGGTGATGGGAGTATGATGGAGAGTGCTACATTGACCAGACACTTGGTATCATATAATGCTGGAGGAAATGAACTTCAGCATGAGTGCTCTAGATGATATTATTTTTGGTTTGATGTCACTGTTTCACTTGGCGTGCAACGCAAGGTGCTAGTTTGGTTATCTCGGTACAATGTGAACCATAGTAGTTTGGGACACGATGATACATTTCAGCCATGATGTTGATAGTCCATCGTCTATACAATACTTCTATTTATATTCTATAATGTACATTCTATCTATATTCTAGTGTCTCTGTTATATATGTATAGTCTCATCCTTCGACACAGCAGCCCTACGGGAGGAATGTCTTCAATCCCATCGCGATCCGCTTAATCTGCTTCGCATAGAAGGAACTCTCCAATCCAGCTCCAATCCCCTTCAGTGAAATCAACCGTGCAAGGAACGGCATCGGAACTCGGTTCAGCACCAACTGCGCCTCTTCGTCCGAAATGCTCTCATCCATCAGAACCAATGGCAGTTTCGGCTCAATCGCAGCCGGGCGTCCAATTCCCACCACGTCGCATGCATTCTGCTGCAAAGCAGACATGGCGCCAGCACGGGTCCGGAAGCCGCCAGTCAGCATAAGCACAAGATCCGGGAAGCGCTTACGAGTTTCGGTGGCAAACTCAATGAAGAACGCCTCGCGGGCAACAGTGCTCGGGCGTTTCTCGGGTCCCATCATCTAAGACGTGTCAGTCTGAACATGAGTATGAACAAATAACATGTGCTGACCGTTGGGTTCTCGTAGCTGCCGCCGCTGACTTCCAAAAAGTCAATGCCCGCTTCGATGAGAAGTCCGATCTGGGTCATCGTGTCTTCAAACGTCGAGGAGCTGTGGTCAGCAGAGTTGAGCTTGATGCCGATAGCAAAAGTCGGCGGCACCACGTCGCGGATCGCGTGGATCATATCGACCACAAATTTGGCTCTCTTCTCTGCCGTCCCGCCATATCCATCAGTGCGTTTGTTGGACTTTTCAGTTAGCGTGGCTCATCCGGATACTGGGCGTAACTACCTTGGCGTTCAAGAATTGGTCTGTTCATTAGCCTACGACCAGTAGCAGGAGTGCAGTGACATACCAATCAAGTAACCATGTGCTCCATGTAGCTCGATTCCGGAGAATCCGCTGTCGGCCATCAGACGGGCCGTGTCCACAAATTGACGAGTGACTCGGTCGATATCAACCTGAGTCATTTCTCGGGGAGGCGAAAAAACGAGCCAGGTGAGCAGACGCTGCACCAAGCCATCACCCATATCAAGAGGAATCGCACTAGGTGCAATTGACGGAGCCAAGACGCCTCTGCGGCCTGCAGCCCGGGGCGTTTGTCGGCCAGGATGGCAGGCCTGTACGATACACGGAGTGCCATGTTGCTGGCACGACTTGGCGTACTGACTCCAGCGTGCAACTAGAGCCTCGTTGCCTTCTTGTCCTGTGTACTCAGCATGCAAGGCAGGATCCCAAGGGTTTCCGAGATGGTCCACATCCACCTGGACATTTCCTAATCATCAATAGCAGTTAGAAGCGTACTATGTGCGTTGACAGTGGGTCGCTACCTGTAAGGAGAGCCCCCCAACCTCCTTGTCCCCATTGGTCGTATGCCTTCAGCAACGTTGGAGTTGGCTCATTGCCTGACCCGGCCAATGCCTCGGCCATTGCAGCCTGGGCGAGTCAGACAAATCATGATTGAGCTTCCGGGAAATTGAGCCACCCACCTTGGCTAGGCGGTTCGGAAAGACCAGCCCGCAGGGAAGCTTAACGGGATCATGCAAGGACGCCATGGAGTGTGTGCCGGTGACAGAAAAGGAAAAGCTGAATGCGACCCTGAAAAACTGGGGGTTGCCCGTGATAAGTCACCGGCGGCCCGAAAAAGCAGCCGAGGCCAGAATCCACGTGGAGGTGTTCATGGCGCAATGTGGGGATAGCCGTTAGTATCGAGCCAAGATTTCTGCAGATGCTTATCAGTTCCGGCAGCTAGCACAACAATAAGCATGTGAAGAGCTTCATCTACTTGAATCAAATAACAGTAAGTAAGAATGATCATTGACTTGGAGTTGGTATGGTTTCTACTTACTACCGAGATAGACGAGCCGACACCAATGATTGCCGAGTTGGTCCGTGCTTATAGAAGAGATCATATGTCAGGATGAAACAGCAACTATCCCCTCATTCTGACCCCAATTCTGAGCTAATCAAAAAGCATAAGCCAGTCAAGCTTAATGAGGGACGAAATCCGCAGTTGGGGTAAAATCGGAGGAAAATGGTCCCCCGCGTGAAACCTCGGACGACCGGATATCCACAGTCAAGATAGCCGGACATCGGGATGCAGCCTCCCGACCACTCGGACAATGCAGGGTAATCCGTCCGTGGAACCACCTTTTGACAGCTGTGACAGGGCCTTTTCGAGTCAAATCGAGCTATAGCTTCACCCCCGGCCAATTACCGACTTCAGCCCAGTGGAACCGATCGCACGGGGAGATGACGGCGGAATCCATCGCCGATCTGACAGGGCCTGCACGAGCTGCAGCTCTGTTGCTTAGCTTGCAGAAGCTTATCTGTACGGTCCGTGATGGGGAAGACCATGCGTCTGGGGGTGAGACTGTCATCTTATCCCCACTTCACATGCCAGTGACCCAGGTTGCCTAAGTTGATGCATCCTGGTCATATATCACGGTCTGGCCGCGGGACAGCCTGACCATCGCTCGTGTGGGTATGGCTAGACTCTGTCCGTATAGAATAGATTAAATTGGAATGATCAGCAACAGCAGGACAACTAACATGTGAAGCAGTGAGGTGGTGACTCACTGGCAGATGTCGTTGTCCTTCCCCGCATTGAGATGAATCCCCTCATCACATGACGCTGACTGCAGGTGCAGGGGTATCCATGCCCGATTCGGAAACGAAAACCTCGCACAAAAGGATGCTAACGGGTCGATTCGGAGTCATGGGGTAGACAGATATCCACTGTAATAACTACAAGGGTGATGTCGGAAGATGAAGGAAGCTACGAGTTCCGTCTAGCGGGATTCCACGAAATGGCAAAACTATAGCCCGAAAAAAGATCTGATCATTGAATCATCCGTTTTATCCATCACAAGACCAGCATCTATGCTAACCAAAACTAGTCCGACATCGGTGGTATCCGACAACAGAATCGTCATTAAGAGGGGTCAGAATCCGTGAAAGAATGGGGGTATACAAAAGCGCATCCTTCCAAGCAGGATCCGGGAAACAAAAAGCGCTCGAAAACAGAACAAAGCCAGTATTTTAAGAATGAGATGCCGGAAAGCTAAGCAAAGAAACTAAGCTCACAGCTTAGAGTTCTTCTCGGCCTCCTCGGTCAGAGCCTCCAGGGAGAAGGCGCTGGGTCCCAGGCTAGCCAGGATAGAGCCAACCTCCCGCTCCAAGGCCAAGACCTCGGTGTGAGGGTTGTACATGCGGGCCTTGATCCAGGCATCCAGGTTCTCGTCGCTCATGCTGCGCAGGGCGGTTTCGCGGTCGACCTTGGCCTCCTGTGCCGCCCGGATGACGTTGCGGGCCACAACGACAGAGACCTCACGGATGCGGGTCAAGTCGGGGTAGAGAAGGCCACGCTCAATCTCCTCGGGAAGGAGAGCCTTGGAGAGGGCCTCACCCGAGGCGTAGATCATGCTGTCGGTGACCTTGACCGACTTGGAGAGAATGGTACCCAGACCAATACCAGGGAAGACATACATGTTGTTGCCCTGGCCGGGGTAGTAGGTGCGGGTCTCGCCAGCAGAGTTGGTGTAGGACATGGGGGGGAAGGGAGAACCAGAGGCAAACAGCACGCGGCCATCAGTGTTGGTGACAGCGCTCTCGTAGTCACATTCGGACTTGTGAGAGGGGTTGGACAGAGGGAAGACAATGGGGGCAGTGTTCCACTCAGCCATCTTGCGCAAGAGCTCGGGGGTGAAGACACCACCGATGGTAGAAAGACCCATCAGGATGGTGGGCTTCACATGGTCAACAACATCTTCCAGGGTCTTCAGCTGCAGGCCGTTGTTGTCCGTACGGGCAAAGTAGACCTTGTGATCAGCGAGCTTGTCACCACGATCAGCAGTGACAAGACCCTTAGTGTCGACCAGGTAGAAGCACGCGCGGGCCTCATCCTCGGTCATACCCTCGCGGACGAAGAAGTCAACAATCTGCTTAGCAACACCGACACCGGCGCTGCCAGCACCGAAGAAGACGGCGCGCTGGTCCTTGCAAGGAAGGCCAGAGCGCTTGACAGCGTTGATGACACCACCGAGGATGACAGCGCCCGTACCCTGGATGTCATCGTTGAAGCAGGTGTAGTTGTCACGGTAACGCTCCAGAGCAGGGAAGGGGTTCTTGAAGTCCTCGAACTGGATCACAATACTGCAACGCGTAAGCAACAATCCAGTCGGGTCGATCATGCATAAGCCACTTACCCAGGCCAGCGCTCGGTCAGAGCAGCCATCAGCTCATCCAAGAATTCACGCTCCTCCTCGGGAGTCACCTTGTCGCGGCGGCTGCCCATGTACAACGGGTCTTCCCGGAAAGCCTTGTTGCTGGTGCCCAGATCGAGAGTCAAGGGCAGGGTGGCCTCGGGGCGAATACCCGCGCAGGCAGTGTACAGAGCCAGCTTACCAATGGGAATACCCATGCCGTTGATGCCAAGGTCACCCAGACCGAGAATCCGGGAACCATCGGTGATACATGTGATTTCCACGTTGGGCTGGGGCCAGTTGGCTATGACAGCGGCCAGGTTGCCGCGATCCTCCCAGCTCAGGTACATACCTAGACGTGCATGGTTAGCGGCCGATTCAGCCCGTGATAAGCATGCTAGACAGGGATTCGCCACACACCTTCGGGCTGCTGGTAGATCTCAGACCATCTCTGACAGGCTTCTCCAACGACGGGAGTGTAGATGAGGGGAGTCATTTCCTTAGTGTGGTGTTAGATCATTGGCTTACTATAAAGTGGTTCTGCAGCTGCAGGCTTACCCTCAAGTGGTCCGTGACCAGACGGTAGAACAGGTGAACATTGTTCTTACGGAGAGTGCTGAGGTAGAGGAACTTGTCGATGGGGGTCTGCTTGAGAGCCAATTGAGCCAGGCCTGCAACTCCATTAGCTTCCAACCCCATCCGACCACCATTCCTCATCTACAGGTATACGCACAGCGAGTCTTCTGGGTCTCGTACGACTCCGCACGCGGGGGCGTCAAGCCGTAGGTGCGGAGATACTTGCGAATGTAGGCAGGGTTGGCAGTGTCATAGTTGGCATCACTAGACGTAGAGGAAGGCATTGTTAGTAACCAGGACGGCAGAAGTCAAAATGTGATAATGTGAGACTGAGTCGAGTGTAGATGGTGCCGTCGAGGACGGGAGGCAAAAGACTGGTACTTACACAGGTGCCGCATGGTTCACCAAGGAGGTCGCGTGGACGGGACGGCTTTGCTGAGCGGGAAATCGAGCCATGGTGGAAGGCTGAGTCACGGCCAGGATACTCTTGGAACGAACACCAACGATATCAGAAGAAGAGGGGAGATTGAAGGAGGCAGCAGAGCTGATGGCAGTGGAGGAGAGGATCAATTGAGGCGAGGAGACGACTGGTGGCAGTCTGATTTTATGTATTCCCTGGGCTAGTCGCATTGAACCCCCCTGAGTAAGAACCCACCGCATGCCGAAGTTCAACCAAGCAAGTGTCTCAACACCGGTCGTGATCTTCTAACGAGGTCGTCGTCAAGACTATGAACCAGGGCCGTGGATTGATTAGGGATGACAGCAATCGGGAAGAATCGGGATGCAAGGGACCACTCAGGATGACCGGGACCGGTACGGTGGGTATCGGGGTACAATGGTTGCATGGCAGCGAACCGTTTCGACTGGGTCGCTGGTCACAGACGCTCTGTGGTGGGAATTATGAAAAAAAGGCGAAGCTTGGGGGGGGAGAAAGGTGGAAATTGAACGGGTCAGATTGGGTCAGATTGGGACGGGTGTGGAGTAAACTAAACGGGAGCTCGCTCCGAATCCGACAAATGCGGAGAAAAATTAAAAAAACATTTGAGACGCACAGATTGTTTTTGGTCCGTTTGATTCAGCTCCAATTCATGGTTTTTTGATGTGAAAGAAGAAAATTCTTAATTAAGGCGCAATAGATTGACAAATCCCGTGAGGGGCTTGGACCTTCCAAATGTTGATTCTCGGTGTTTGGGGGGTGGGAAAGAGAAAGAAGATAATGAGGAGAAAAGTTGAGGTATTTCTCGTTCCAGGACGACGGCTACGTTGTAGTACCGAGTACAGCGAAAACACAACACACGACACACACACCCGACCTGTTCGATTTGAGGTGTTTATTGTGTTTATTCCATGTGTTTTTGGGTATTGCTGCTGTACTCCTGTTGCTGTTGTTGGTATTTTTGTTTCTATTCCTAATTGTTTGGTTTTCTTTTACACACAATCACTCACTCACTTACTCATTTCCTTCCTAACGGAATACACACTTTCTTTCTCTTTCCAAAGTCCGAGTGGGGAGAAAGAGGGACCTTCTTCTTTTTTCTTTTTTTTCTCTTTTTTTATCCTCTTCCCCGTTGGGATTCGGTGGCAGCTGACATACCTACTACGGAAGTTCCCCCTTGTTTCGGTAAAAGATGGTTCTAGATATGGATCCTTCTTGCTCTGTGAATTGTTTGTTGGATAATAATTACAGACCTATACCAGAATTATACCACAACCAAACAGGATTCCTGATAATCCATGCGTATTGTTGGGGATGCATAAAGTACGAATTAGAGGTGTGAGTTGAGAGAGCTGATCGAGTCACCAGCATCATCAGTCTGGATTGTACGGGGTACTTGTCAGTCTTCTAGCTCATCCAGATGCACTTCGGGTAATCCCTCTGCAACTACTGGCTTACTGTGTACAATTATACTCCGAGCGCCCGAAAGTATGAGATCTACCAGTGTAGAAACTAGCATGGGGGTGTTAAGGGGTTAATCAATTCCAAAAGAATGTGATAGCTATCAACAAGTATATCCTGCTTACGGTGGACTAGTCTCTTAAGTCCAGGACAACGCTTCTTATCACCGTCCGCCCTACGACGGAGGTCTATACCCTATACTGTATACTGTCTTACGGGCCCCGATTTCCGAGATGGCAAACCCGATTCCCATTCTTTCTGCTGGTCGGATGGTGGACCCGATTTAGTCAGAATTCAGCGTAGACATCGGAATCACGCAGCAGACGCTAAGCCAACAAGAGCAAAGGGTCCAGCCATGGTGGTTGAGGTGGATCGGGTCTCATGTGGCAGAGAAACAGGCTAAACTACGCCCACTAAGCCAGCTTAGTTGCCTAAGCTAACTGCCAGGCCCCAAGTCTCCAGACGATCTAACTGAACCAGGAAGGATTCTGGACCGGATGTTATTCATGCTGTGCCAGCCATTAGTTCTAAGATAGTCCCGCTAACATTCCCCGCAGCAACGCGGCCCGGACAATGGCCGAGTTCGGGTCTTGTCAGCGGCTGCAAAAAAGCCAGCACCAGAACACACACACACACACATACACACGCATACGCACACACACATACACGAATCAGTGTGTGTCTGTAGTAGTACCGCACCTGTGTTTCGTGTCCTGTCGGCCGATTGCCAGATATACACACATATACGAATATCTTCAAATTTTCCCAAAGCTCATAAAATCCCTCAAACTTGTTGGCTTGTCACCCGACATTGACTCGTATTGCCCGCTGTGTGTGTGTGTGTGTTGATCCAATCCACCACGGAGTATTCCTAGCAAGGGTGAATCGTACCCGGAATACTCCGTGGTGCAGACGCAATGCAAAAAGGAAGCTCGTCGCCCCCATCCCAGACTACTTACCCTTCGAAACACATTGCGCATTACTTGACTGCGCCGATCAGAAATGCGCGAATAAAGGTCAGGCAAAAAAAGAAAAAAAAAGAAAAAAATTCTTTTATTGTCGGGTCTCCAATTTTGACTCCAAATTCCGCGGTCCTGGCTGCCCAATAATAAAAAGTCTGAAACTTCAAACGGCCTTGCGCCTCGCCGATCGGTCCCGACCGATGGAGCATCCGATGGAGTCGCCTCCTGCGAAACTGCGAAAATCTTCCGTAGCTTCCAGTGAATAATATCTGAAGCAGTAACCCTTCCCTCATGATTGGTCCTCTCCTGCTCGACTTCCTCTCTCGCAGTGGAGAGTAGTATAATTAGTAGTGTAGGTGTGAACCGTGCTGTTTCCGTCGGAAGCACGCAAAATTTCGTCTCCTGCACACGACCAGCTTACGAGGTCGAGGCTCATCTCATTATTAATTGTCAAGTGAGAGAAATTATCGTGGGAGCTAAACGTGTCTAGTTCTGAGCTAGTGATCAATTACTATGGAATTATGATTGTTGTGCACTGTTAGTGCTAAGTATATCCTCCCTAGTCAAAAGTATAGAATCCGGTTACAGACTCCACTCCCATTGGTGCTCTTGCCGATATACTACTATACAACTATTGTAGTCGCGTGTGAGCTACTACTAAATAATTCTTGTTGATCTCCAACTCATCTAATTAAGATAGCGTGGGCTGTCCTGAGCGATTTCTTAAGCCATTGGACCCTGATGCCCGTTCGAGCGATTTTTCATGTCCAATTTATCCCTCACTTTTGACACGGTGGCTGAAGTTTGTACCTCATCCCGCGCATCCATCCACGCAACCATGCAGGTTTTGACCGGGTTACCCACTTCAGCAGTTCCTCGACCAGCCCCGGACCCGAGCTGCATGGATCACAAAGCTTGACTGGTGCTGATCCTTCCATTCCTTGGATTCAACGGTTTAGCCGCGGGTTATACCTCAGATGCTTCCAAGCACCTCCCGCATTGAACGCCTGATGAGAGAAAGATTGAAGCTGGGTGACTCTAGCCCATGAAGTGTGTGATACAGGTCATACACACTGGAATCTGAGAGCTATTTACTGTTGGCTTAGTCGTCAATATGTGTGACAATGCTTTCCTAGTTTTGGATCCATCGTATCCCACAGCGGTCAACCTGTTTGACATTAAATCGGCCTGGTGGCACTGTGGCCATACTTGACTCATCGGACAGGACTCCGGAAAGCATGCGATACTCCGCGGCCATCGTTGCTAACCTTGCAGGTGTATGTAACAGTCATACCTCCATGTTATCGGTCCTTGTACAGGCTATTCAGGCAACAGAGATCTCGTTCGCCCTTACGTCGTTGAAGGACTGCGGTGCCAGCGTTTCATTGCATTACACCATCTGCTACAGCTTTGAGATCACACAGGCCTTGCGTGGTGTACAAGAGAATGTCAAGTCTTGAGATAAGGATATCATGCGATGGTGTATCTATCAGTGAGCCGTCATCGAATCTCGCAGTCAGCCATCCGGACCGTTGCAGTTGTACAGGGCACAATGGCATATATGATGCTCCGTCTGGGATGATCCAGCTATTACATGATTACATCTAGACTGGAAGAAGCAATGATTGGGAGATAATAAGGATATCGCGATGATAGGACAATGCTGGCGTGTCACCTGACTGCGGCCGAACCCGGCCAGTAGCGGTGACGCAATGGTGATTAGGCGCAGGCCCGTGATCGAGACATGCAACAACAACCGGGAAGCTTTGCAATCAGCTAACCAGCTGCCGGTTTCCCCTCTTTTCCTGCTTCCATTCCCCATTGTTTTCTCGGCCAGGTTTGCAGATACTCATCATCTCCCCTCTGTTCGTTGTGTGCATTTACCATCTCCATCTTCATCAAATTTCATCAGGTACCTAGCTTTGTGTTTTGTCAAGTCATCCTGGTACGCCAGGCATCTCTTCATCATGCCGCAAGGAGAGACGGAGCCCCTCCTCCCTCGCTACCGGGAGGACACGACCCTCCAGCGTCGCCTGCATCAAAAATTACACACATACCAGATGATCCGTGCCCTTTCGGATGGGTACATGCCATCTACTGAACAAGCCATCATCAATCTGCGCACCTTGTTGGCTTCCGATGTCCTTTCCCCTCATACCCACGATGTTGGCACCGTCGGCCGTCAGATTGTCCGCGACTGCCGCCTCTGGATCCAAGTGTTCATCGAGCTCTTGCAAGAGAAGAATGGTGATGATAAGCTCCAGGAGTTCTTGTGGCACCTCTCACGCTCCAGGGCGTCCATCGACCCCAACAAGATACAGCAGCGAGCCAATCAAACCAAGGCAAGGGCGGATACGAAAGCGGGTACCGACTTCCGTTCTTTTCTGTTCATGCATCAGGCTGTGGGTACCACAGGGCATAGAGTAATGAGCTAACAATTGTGATCCAGCATATGATAGCCTGCGCACTGTGGGAAGCCTACTCCTGACCAACGCGGACTTCCGGCTCTTCGTTGATGATTTGTCGACCGTCGGCCGCCAGATCTTTTCCGATACGGCATTCTCGTTGTCCAACACATCGCAGCAGATTGGAAAGGAGCTTCAACCTTCTCAGGAAGATGTAGATGCTATTCAAGGGGCAGGCGCCGACGAGGGCCGTTCTGCAGGAAACGAAGAATTACGTGAAGAGGCAGCTACTGTAGCGAAAGTCGCAGGCAATGGTGTTGCTCGCACCGGAAAAGATGCAGTTCACAGTGCCAAAGAACACCTAGCCGGACAGGAAAAAGACGCCTTGCTCTATCGGTTAAAGAAGACTGTGATGAACCTTCGGGACCGTTCTGACTATACAGATTCGGTTGCCACATTAGGCCAACTGCTGGGGCGATATGCAAAAGCGTATGCAAGTGCGGCTTCGGATGTCGTCACAACAGCAGAAGAGGAAGTCGATGTCAATAAGGACCTCAAGGAGGCAATGGAACACTTCTGGTTATTGGTTCAGTCGTTTGGCGATGCTCAGGAATGGAAAACCCTGGAGGAGCGTTTCAAAGCTGCAATGCAGCACTCGAACAAAGATCCAGAGTTTGAAAAATTCGTCTCTGAGACAGGTTCTTTGGTCGAAGAGATGTTGACTGATCCAAAATTCTTCGATTCGGCCGAAGAGAAGATCGATGAACTCAAAGAAAAGTCAAAGCAAATTGAGACAGGATCCAGTATCCGTCAGGATGTGGATGCATTCCTGGCACAAGCAAGACGGGCTCTGCGGACGGTTCCGCAAGACAAAGCTGTGTCTAAACTCTTCGATGCGACCAACAAGCTATACAAGGATGCTTGGGACGGCTACAATAGCCGAGAAGGCCAATTACCCACCGACCTGATCGAAGTCTTCTTTCCCCTAGTTCTCCGCACTATTCAATACATACCAATCCCGCGGCTGGAGATATCTGCACCAGAGGTCGATCTATTACTGGAGAGCCTCATCCTAGAACCTGGTAAAACCGTCAATTATTCCTCATTTTTGCCATACCGGATGCATGTTACAACGCGCAATGACATCGACATCGTGAAGAAGCATTCCAAGAAAACCGCCACTGATCTCAAAACCACATTTACGGCAACAGTATGTGGACTAAATATTAGTGCTCAGGAATTCGGATATTGGATGCGGACCCATTCAGCGCTTCTATTTGGCCTCAAAGATGAGGGAATTGCCAGCTTCTACCTGGATAGGCGCGGTATTGACATCTCCCTGGACATAGAGGTTGGAAGAGAGCGGCTGGAACACATCTTCACTCTGCGCGGTGTCCGTGTGCGGATCCACAAGCTGGACTACAAAGTCCACCGCAGCAAGTGGAAGTGGCTCATCTGGTTGACGAAGCCTTTCCTCAAACACCTAGTCCGCCGAGTCTTGGAAAAGAAGATCGCGGAGAACATTGTTCAGGCTGCTTTCACGCTCAACAGAGAGCTGGTCTTTGCTCGAGAACGTCTGCGAGCAGCACGCATTGCCAACCCTCGGGACCTGGCAAGTTTCGTGCGGGCAGTGCTGGCACGGCTGCAATCGCTTCCCGACACCGACGTCGAGACTCGTATTGGTCTTGAGCCACCTGGTAGCGGTGTCTTCAAGGGTGTATACGCCCCGGGCAGCTTGGTCAAAGTCTGGCATGACGAGGCCTCTCGGGCCCCTGAGGCCATTGAAGAGGGCGATGAGAGTCAGGGACTCGGACGGACCTGGCGAAACGAAGTATTTGATGTGCCGAGAGGTTGAACCTAGGACGTTCGCTCATTTTCATCACGAGTCACGATTGTTCCCTTTGGTCTGGATCAACTGTCAAGGTCCCCGCGCTATAAAAGTGTATATTCCGTAGTTGCTTGGATGATCGACGCCGGTGGGTTCGTAGTAAGGGTGCGGGGAATTTGCCACAGTTTATTTCTCTACTTTAGCTAGCAATGAGCGTTGATAGCGACTGTTGTATACAGTTCATGAATTCTGATCCGGTCCTCCCCGTATAGTGTGATCCCACGTGACCCGGTCGCGGACGAACAGTAAAGCCGGCCGGCGTTGCGGCCACCTAACCGGTTTATGTGGTTGGCCGAACATCCTCCATCTTCGAGTCCGCGATAACAGACAGCCTGGCCAAACACAACGTCCGCTTCTTGAGGTCTTGACTGATCTTGAGCAGCTCCCGCCAGGGACCAAACATTCCTCAATCCTTACACCTTTATCCGACCCTCTCCCCTCAATCTTCCTCGTCCCTCCTTTCCCCCAATCTACCCACATACATACATCCGTCCTTCTTGGCCGATCGACATCCTTCTATACTTCCAACATAACAAACACTTTGAAGTATAACCCACGCCGACACCACATCCCTCGCTACAAAACAACCACGACAGTTACTTGAGCTGCGACGCTTCGCAGCTCACAACAACCAATATCACCACATATAATAAATAAGCCAAACCGACGCAACCATGTTCCCCACCATGCGAACCGTGGCCCTCTTCGTGGTCCTCACCATCTGTCTCATCCAATTGGTCCTCGCCGCAGAAGACTACTACAAGATCCTAGGACTAGATAAGTCCGCCTCGGAAAAGGACATCAAACGCGCCTACAGACATCTGAGCAAGAAGTTCCATCCGGATAAGAACCCGTTCGTTTTACCCTCTCCCTTCTCCCAACTTTCTTTCTTCTATTGGCGCTATTGCTAATCTATTCGATGCTATACAGAGGCGACGAAACCGCGCAAAAGAAATTCGTCGAAATCGCCGAAGCCTACGACGTGCTCTCCACGTCCTCCACCCGCAAGATCTACGACCAATACGGCCACGAAGGCCTCGAACAGCACCGCCAAGGCGGCCGACAATCGCACGACCCATTCGATCTATTCTCGAGATTCTTCGGCGGCGGAGGCCATTTCGGACATGCGCCGGGACATCGCCGGGGACCGGACATGGAGCTCCGGGTCGGGTTACCGCTCAGGGATTTCTACAACGGACGGGACTTCTCATTCGGCATTGAGAAGCAGCAGATCTGCGATGCGTGCGAGGGTACCGGGTCCGCGGACCGGGAGGTTGTCACCTGCGATAAGTGCTCTGGACGGGGAATGATCATCCAGAAGCACCAGCTCGCGCCGGGCATGTTCCAGCAAGTGCAGATGCATTGCGATAAGTGTGGCGGACAGGGCAAGATGATCAAGAAGCCGTGCCCGGTGTGTCATGGCCACCGGGTTGTTCGCCGCGAGGTCGAGACACATGCGACTGTGGAACCTGGAATGGATAAGGGGATGCGACTGGTATACGAGAACGAGGCCGATGAGAGCCCCGACTGGATTGCGGGCGACTTGGTGCTGATTCTGGAGGAGAAGGAGCCGGAGCTAAGCGATGCCGAGGAACATCGTACGGATGGGACGTTTTTCCGTCGCAAGGGCAAGGATCTGTTTTGGAAGGAGGCGCTGTCGCTACGCGAGGCGTGGATGGGCGAGTGGACGCGCAATATCACGCATTTGGATGGACATGTGGTTCACTTAGGGAGGAAGCGCGGGGAGGTCGTGCAACCGTTGTCGGTGGAGACGATTAAGGGTGAGGGTATGCCGCATTACTCGGATGGTCATCTTCATGATAATGACGATGAGGATGAAGAGCCTGGGAACTTGTATGTCGAGTATGCGGTTATCTTGCCGGATGAGATGGAGAGCGGCATGGAGAAGGACTTCTTTGCCCTGTGGGAGAAGTGGCGTAAGAAGAATGGAGTCGATTTGGGTCGCGATAGTGGGAGGCCTATGCCTGCTCCGCCGGTGAAGGATGAGTTATGATAGATATTTATTGCTTAATTCTTGCTCGCTTTCTCTCTCCCTCTATCTTTCCCTTCGCTTCACGGGAGGTGACATTGTACATTTATTCAGTGGTTTAGATAGCTATCTTAGACGTTCTCTATAGAGAGTATATCGAAAATGGTATCCTTGACGCCTGACGCCCTTGATGGGGAAGAATAGTTCTCTACTTGAGTATTATCATCATCTTCACCCCTACACTCGTTCTGCCTGGAATAGTGAGGGGAAATACGTTCTCCTTGCGTCGCGGTGATCCGTTTACATCCGGACCAGAGATCCCATGCACTCTCAGACCCTGAGATGGCAAACAGCTGCTGTGTTACCGATTGATGATGGTTGCCTAGAGATGCAGTCGATAAGATATAGCAGCGTTTCCTGTACATTCGAGCGTATGGGTAATTCAGCACCGGATTACCGCGATCGCCGATTCATGCAGGGATCGCGCCTTGCATGCAGACAGATATGGGTGCCACAGACTCATGATTTGCTGTGTGGACAGACACTTTCCTAAGTATACGATTCGTTGGCTGATGTCCCGAGATCTGCACCTAAAGGGGCCCAAACGGAGCCAAATCGCCACTATCCCATAAATTCCCCGACAGACTCTCCAGCGTCTCGAAATCAGGCATCCAGAATGGACTGTCTTCTTCCAGATCGATCCAGGGCGCGATCTGCAATGCCATGCGCACGCCATGGTCCTGGCTGCTAGTGGGTTCGGAAGAAGCCTGGGCGGCGGTGTTGGCTGCCGTTGCGTTGTTCATATCTGGTGCCATGCCGCTGGTGGGGTTGTTGCTATTGCTGCATGTAGTGGTGAGGTTGTGATGATCCCTGAACATTCCTGCATTGATGCCACCGCTGCTACTGTGTTGGGCTGTCATCAGTTCCGCCATACCCACCTTCTTGGATGCGTCGCTACCCTCTAGTTTCTCCATTGCGGCGTTGACGAGTAACTCGAATGCGTCCCGGTATTTCTTGACCCATTCGGCGCGCTCGCCCATCACGAATAGGACAGTGGAGCAGGCGCGGATGTCGTTGCTCATCTGGACAGACCAGACGTCGCTTGTGTGGGTCCATAGGGCGTAGAGCAGGGTGATACCAGCCATGAAGATGGTCTGGACGGCTAGGAAGGAGTGCCCGTATTCGAGGGTTTGGTGTAGCTTCTTGTGGGTTTGGCAGGTGTTTCCGGCTGCGCGGAGACAGATGTGATAGTATGGGTCGGAGAGAGGGAGTGAGGGTAGGAATGGCTGGATGAGGAGTCGTAGGGCTCGGTGGTAGTGCAGCATTGGATAGTCTAGGTCGGATCCGGTGAAACGTCGCAGAGCTGACTCTTTCCATTCTTCGAGCTGGAGAAAGAGTCGGTCCATCTTCGAGCGTAAAGTGTGCAGTGGTCGGTCAGCTCGGTAGATCTTGTGCTGAATTTCGGAGTCAATGCGCCGCAGGCGCATGAGGAATATGGCAAATGTCAGGGTAGTGATTCTGGTCGGAGCTGGAGGGGCGGCTAGCAAGACCGGATCGCGGACATCGTCGTCAATGTCTGCAGGCAAAGGAAGGTCGATGTGTCTGTCTGCGATGCTGAATGGCCGGCCCAGGGACATAGACACGACACGTTCGAGATAGTATACAGTCCAGAAAAGACGCCGCCGCATTTGCGCAGTGAAGGGATCCATGTTGATCTCGTTTGCTTTGCGATGTAGTCCAAGGTCTATAGCGGTACGCATGGCCAGGCCTACCATGTACCACATGCCCTGACCAGACGCGGAGCGAAGGTGATACACAATCAGCAGGGCCATAGCCTCAATATTTTCTATAGATCGCATTTCGCACATATTCGGTAGTTGTTGCAAAGCGGTCATGTAAAATCGCTGGCGAGGTGGTTAGAACAAATAATCTCCGCACCACAAGAGCAACATACCTCAGGAGTGGTATACGAGTAAGTTTCACTTAACTGGATCGCTGTAGCTCCGATGGCATATACAAGATACAGCTTGAATATGCCTACCCGTTCCTCCTTGGTCAGCTCTTCTCGTTTCTTTTGCGCCAGCCGCCAGCGCGCCTCATGCAGTCGCCACAACTCCGTGCGGTCGAGAAACGGATAGCGAACATGAATCCGGGTGAGATAGGCATGAAGAATCCTGGTTCCCATTTTATCGCTAGGAGGCTCGCTGCTTTTCACCAACACCTCCTCCACTCGTGGCGGTCCAGTTCGATCATGGACATGACCAGCCCTCTCGCCAGGAGGCTGAGGGGGAAGACCCGTAGATCCTTGTCCCGCTGCAGGTCCAAATCTACTTGATGACGCTGCTCGAGCTGAAGATAGAGCCTGGTTCCATATTGTGGCTTGGACCATCTCCCCAAGATTCGTAGCTAAGGAGAGGCCCGAACTGGAACCTACGTATGCAGGCGCCTCCGAGGAGTTGAGTGCCAGAAATCCCACCAATTCTCCGACAGCATTTTGATCCAGACCAGGGGTCGGGTTACTGGGAGTCTCCGGATGTGGAGGAGACAGGAGTGCAGCAACTGGATGGGCGACATGGCTGCTGGCCCGGCTACTCATGGGTTTCGACTCTAACTGGGACTCAAGGTAGGCGATGCGATCCTGCAACGCACGGGTATATCTACAATTGTCAGTACTCCACAGGGATTATGTTTCGGGTCAGGTGGGAAAAGGGGGATCCCACTCGTTCTGAGTGCCATTCTCCTGTCGTACGGTGGCTTTGTCACATATCGCCCCGGCCTTTTGGCAGTTGGAGCACACAGGGTAGTCATTGTCACACTAAGACTTGACCATTAGCATTGACTGATGCCCCTGAGTAACATTCTGGAGACAACTACAACCCGGACTGATCTCCAAGGATAGGTGGATCCGTCTACTGACTTTCTGCTTTCTAGTCTTACAGCGCGTGCATGCCGTTCTGCCGCGCTTCCGGGGATTGTAGTCCCGCGAAGGTGAAGAGGAGGTTCTGGTGGGGGTCGAAGTGCTCGCAATATCCATACTAGTTTATTTCATATTGTCCCTGATACAGAAGAAGGGGAAGAAGAGAAGTTAAACTCGCTCGACAATCGAAAATGTAGAAGAGCAGAAGATGAGTCAGGAATAAATGGAGGAAGAAGTTGGGAAGCTGCTCGTCCCCGCCAAGACATCTCGGCTCGACCCGCCAGTTAGCGCCTGGAGCCATTAAATTTAGTACGAGAAAGATAAGCACCTCGCGTGGGTTCCTCTATATGGATTACTCGTCTGTATTTGCACTATCATGTGTATTTCCATAACATTATTAAAGAGATATTCAAGAAGAGTATGTCATATACCAATGGATGCGCATCGCCGCAGTGGACTTTTTGTATCGCTGAAACGCCATCTATGCCGGACTTGTATCATAAGTAGATTCATTGCATCTCATAACCACCTTACGGCTCTGGTTCCGCTTTCTTCTCGGAGCGAGACGCACTCTCCATCTCACCACTGGCCTGGGATTCAGGAACCTGCTCCGATTGGACTTCACTATCCCCAGCTGCAGCCTGCTTCTCGGCCTGTTCCTGGGCCTGCTCTTGCCGCCGTTTCTCTTCCTCTTGCCTCTTCTCTTCTTCTATTTCAAACTGATCCTTGGGCCTCTCCAGTCCCCGGTCGCGAATAAAGACACATGCGAGGAGACAGACTCCCATCAGCGGGACTTGGAAGATGAACACGGAGTGAGAAGCCTTGGCATATGCGTCAAGGATCTGCTCCCAATCTGCATCGGGAATACCGGCCCTCGACGGGAGCGAATAGGATGAATCAGCAATATCCCTATATCCCACAGGCAGATTGGATCGCAACGTTGCCTGCAAGATCGCAGCCGAGATAGCCAGACCACATGCACCACCTAGGCAGCGGAAGAAATTCCGGTCCGAGATTACGACAGCTCGCTGGGCCTTCGTACAATGCGCCTGAAAAGCGACCATGGTCGGTTGGAAGACACCTCCAACGCCTATGCCAGCGATGCCAACGATGACAGCAATAGCTCCCGGGCTGGTGTGGCGGTCGAACAACAGCATCAGGCCGGCGCCACTAAATATAATGTCAGATTACAAGTATCTAACGATGGGCAAGACACCGGCAGGGTCACTTACAGCGTCCAGAAGAAAAATCCAGCCCAGATCACCTCTCCGTAACGCTTGCGCCGGGAAATGTACTGGCCGGACAAGACAGAGGCCACTGATTGACAGGCGACCATTGGCGCCGTTAGTGCAGCAGAAACAATCGGGGACCAGTCCCGAGCGTTCTGATAATACAACGGCAGGTAGTAGAGAGACGACTGGTACACAGCTCCAAAAAGGAAACTCTGCAAGAACAAGGTACAGACCACTCTGTTCTTGAAAAATACCACTGTTCAAGAATTAGCAGCCGGTTCTAAGTATCGAGGTTCAACTGGTGACATACTTGGAAGCATAGGCAACACAGCGACTTTCCATTCAATTAAAAGAAACGCAATCAAAGCGCAGCCCGCAATGGTGAGCATGCTAATCACCATTGCCGAATCCCAGTTGAAGTAAGAGCCGCCTCCCGATATTGGGATCAACAAAAAGATTATTCCAATGGACGAAGACAGGATACCCCAATAGTCAATCTTGCGGGCATTTTTGCGGAGGCTGTCCTTCCGCGCATTATTGGGAATAAGGAAATAGCCCACAACAATGGAGCATGCAGAGAGCGGAGAAATGAGCCAGAAGAAACCTCGCCATGTCGAATCCATGACGAATGCTGCGGCGATGAACGGCCCGATAACGTTGCCCATCCCCAGGGCCGCACCCAGAATTCCTTGGTATTTGCCCCGGTCTCTGAGGGTGACGATATCTGATACAATGATCATTGTTAGGGAGGTGACACCGCCGCCAGCTACACCAGCCAATCCTCGAAAGACATAGAACATTGGAGCATTCTGAGATAGACCGCACAGTAGATCGGCAATGCAAAGGAGTGCCAAGGCACACAAGTAGACTATCTTTCGGCCGAAGATATCAGACAACCGACCATAAAGCACCGTAAACATGGTGTTCGCAATAAGGGACGATGTGCCTGCCCATGAGATGGTATCCTGGGCGTTGAGATCTCGGGCGATTGTGGGAAGAGTAACGCTGATACCATTTTGATCAACGAAGGTGATAAGCAGAGAAACTGCGAGCCCCGTAAAGACAACCAGCAATTGCCCGATAGGCAAGATGTTAGTCTGGTCGTGCAAGGCTTTTTCCGCAGCCTGTTGTCGATTCATTTTGTTCTGTTCTGTCTATGCCAATATAGAATTTATGAAGGCGGGAATTCCGAGCATGGTATTATAGAGAAGACGGATGGAAGAATGTAAAAAATCGGAAAATCAATATTGACCAGATGGGATATCTCTCAACAACTGAGTCTTGTCGACAGGGTGTGTGTACGGCTTCAGGCCATAGACACCAAACAGATATATATGCAACAACTGATAAGAACAGCACGGCACAATATATGGGACGAGAAGTGTTGGTTAATCAATGGTTGGCCGCAAGCGTCGTCCGAGTCTTTAACCTGTCAATTTCATAGGGGATCATCGGAGGCACCGCCGAGCACCGTCGACCGAGATCCAGCATTCTTGCCATATGGCCCACTCCACAGGGATAAGATCCAACGGCTCTCATTGGTTCTTTTATCAACCAAGCCGTGGCAGCGGCATCTTTCCGCGTCGGGTTTGCCAGTCAGTTGGCGACAGTCGTAGCAAAAGTGGATCTCCCCTGTCGGAGGTTGGAAACCGGCTAATCGGACATCCGAAAAAAATGTGTTGGTCGGCCCAAGTGCCCGCACCCGCGATAACATCATAGATAACTCTTTCCTGCACCTGGTCCAAACAGGCCGATCCCGATCCTGATCCTGTCTCATCGGCCTGATTTCGAACATGACTCACAATGAAAGAGACCGCCAAGGTTCAATACCGTAAATTTTCTAACGACCCCTGCAAAGCTGCGGCCGATGTCTTAGGCCCAGACTCAGCCGGTCCTGAGCATCGACGTAGAGAACCCATTTGCCGTGTTTGTAACTAGACCAGCTAATCATTTGGATGATGAAGATGAAGGCGGCAGGTAGTATTCGGGTTTGCAATAGAGTCCATCCTGGTAAAGAAAATCGCATACACTGTCGATGCCCTGAGTTCGTACATGATCGTCAATTGAACAGGAATTGTCTCCAAAGGGAGGGCAGTGACAAGTATCAACCTGTGAGGCATATTGTTCCGCACTATAGCGTCTGAGCTCACTCTACATCGTACATATGTCCTTGAGAGACAGCGTTGCAGCGGCGATTTGCAGGGGTGTATGCCAGTCATCCAATCGGATGTGCAGCAACATACCGCAAGGTTGCAGACGTGGCCGCGATTCGTCACGAGCCGTAAGGTTAACGCAGATCGGAGAGACGTATCTAACGCTCTTTTTAATTGGGGCAAAAGGGAAAGGGAGCTTTGATCGCCCCAACTCTACACAGAGTTATGGATGCGCATGTGTAAGTGGAACTTCCATGGTTCTTGCTGTCCAAGGCTGCTGTACGCCACGTGTGCTTGCCACAGAGGTACCTTCAAACGCTGGACCGCCTCCGGCGCGGCTACTACCATCACTGTTTTGAATCGATTGTATCGAAGGGCCCGCACTGGCTGAAGTTGCGCCCTGACTAGGAACAGTATGCTGGGGGGCATAATGCCCACCAGTGACGTTGCCGTGATTAGGAAAGAAGCTCTGGTTTGGTGCACCACATGTGGCGCAAGTAAACTCGATTTTGAAGTTGGTCAGAACGAATGGTGGGCTGGTAAGCTGCCCATCATTTGGTCGCGGTTGAGTCGGATTCTTTGGGCGCCCAGCGTCCGAAGGTGGTGCTGGATCGGGAGCAGGGACTGAATAAGGAGACTGCTGGGAACTTGCAGGGTGATGCAGGCTATGACCTAGGGGTGTCTGTTCTGGTGACAGGACCTCAGCCGGCGGCGCTTGTTGTGTGGGCTGCACCTGGTGATGTACCCGAGGCGGCGGATGTACAGGTTGGCTGTGAAGTTGTGATGCCGAAATAGCTTGATCCCGGTGAACCTCATCTTGAGGTATGTTTTCCATGATGGTGGTTTGGAGAGTGTCTGTAATCCATCTTTGACTAGAGAGACTGCCGAAAGTCGAACTCTCCGCCTGACTCTCTAAAGGAGGCGGTTGGCTGTCCTGTCGGTCATCTCCACTAGAGTCATGAGTGTTGGTGCCCTCGCTCTGGTTTTGCGCTTCATGTTGCTGTAGGCGGATAAGAGCTCGTTGCGCTTGTCGCATTGAGATGTCATAGCCATGGTATCGTTTCACAGCGTCCACAACGTCTTGCGCCCTGATTTTGTTTTTCATGTCGAATAGCTTGGGGATTTCAGTCAGGAGGAACCGCACATGCGATGCCTCCGATCGAGCTGGTGTCTTCGAGGTTGAAGTGGCATTGCGACGACAACTGTGGCTGTCCTGGAGGCTGCTGATGTAAGTTGCATTCTTGTTCGCGCGGCACACAACACGAAAGTAGCAATTGTTCGAAGATCGACAGCCTATGACAACGCTTTTCTTGTTGCTTCTGGTCACTCGAAGCTCCCAGTGTTGTCTCACGGAAATACTTCGAACCAGTCCTTTAAATTCCTCCAGCGAGCTGAAACGTTGGCCCACGTGGAGCCCCGAGTACATCTCCGCCATCACAATGCAGAATGGTGTCGCGAGCGGAACATAAGCAGGTCGGTGTCGACAATGATTTCCATCAGTGAGGCGTTCTGACTCATGTGATTCTGAAGACAGCGACGAATTCCTTGGGCGATAAATTCGGCATTGTTTGGCGCGTAAAATGCAAGATTTCTAATTCCCTATGACGATCCCAAGTCTGACAACCATAGCCAATCAGGGAAACATAGATAGAGCCGATCTGAACCGTGAGCCAATGGAAGTTGAGCGACCAACAGCTTCGAAGTGGGAAGCAGCTGTAGGGATGACTGAGACCCTCCCAGGGCCCGTTGACCACCTGCCGCAGTGATTGACAAGTGAGATTGGAGAGGTGAGATGAGGAGAAGGAAGCGCAATGAATAGTAGTATCAGATCGGAAATAGGAGAGTGGACGCTGCCCGCATTAAATTGCGGGCGGGAGGAGCAGCTGAAGGTCGGCGTCCGCCTAGCGCGGATCCCCCGACCGCTCACATCGGCCCATCCGGCCTTTTTCCCTTTGAAGGCTTGCGCCATCTTCACGCGGCCACCGAGAAGAGGAGGACGCGCGATCCATTTCGACTCCTCCCCGACGCAGATTTGCATTTCCCCTTGACAAATACCCTATTTTATTTTTACGACCATAATGACGTCTTACGGGTTATTGGATCAACCAGATGAAGGTCGAGTGGTTCTAGAAACACGCCCCGGTCCTTACACCGTGCTAATGTAATGCCCTTCCAGATGGTCTCCACAAGTCGCGCCTCTTGAACGTCGAAGAAAAGCCTTTCAAGCGGATTTCAAAACGCCTCCTCAACAATGACTCCATCGTAGTGTCCAACGCAACGCTCCCTCCCACTCCTCCACCAGATGGTGCAGACGACGATGCGACAGCAGCTGCAGAGGCGGAGAAACAGAAACGGCTCGAGGAATGGCGCCATTTCCGTGAAGATGTTGCTTTGGATTTTGCCGCCTTCGAAGGCAGCATCGCGCGCATCCAGTTCCTTTTGACAAGTAATGAGAAGGAGCGCGAGCGCTATGCGACCGAGAAGCTTCGAATCCTTGATACAATGCAATCGGTGCGTGACAATACAGCAGAGCTGCGGGTACAGCTCGAGGAAGCCCAGCGTCTACTAGCATTGCGCAAAAGCTACGATGAATTGGCAGAGAAGATTACCAGCAACCGACTCTTGAAGCCGCGCGAAGATCAACAAGCCAATTTACAAAAGCTACAGGCGGAAATCACTGAGCTGGAGAAAGAGAGTAAAGACTACGCACACACCTGGTCTGAACGGCGAGAACAGTTCGGTCGCATTGTCGAAGAAGGGATGCAACTCCGTCGGCTCATCCGTGACGAGAAGGAGGAGGTCGAGCGCAGAGAAGGCATGCAGGAGGAAGAAGATGGAGATGACGGGGATGTTCCCTCCAAGGGGAAATCCAGTGGAGCTAATACCCCTCGTCACGAGTCAAACAGTCTGACTCCTTCTCAACATGGCCATGATGATCTTGGGCGATCACCAGCAGGCTTGCAAGTGGAAAAGACGGGTACTGCCGGTGCGGTGTCACCTTTGCGACAAATGACTGCGGTGGACGACGAGAATAAGATTACCCCCGATCAGGACACCTCAATGGAAGATGAGGGTGAGGTCCCCGAAGAGCTAGAAGAAGGGGAGGAAGTCCAGGATGACCGTGCAGACAAAATGGACACTACTTGATTATCGGAGAATTTTCTCTACCACACATTGAGCAAGGAGTTCGGTTGGTGGCGTTCGCATTAGGCTAACTATCACAATGCAACAATGGCTTTGCTTTTCTCAGGGGCAATTTATTGAATAATTTTCGTGCTGTGGATTAAGTACATGTGCCAGTAGATGGAAAAATGAGCTATCTCAGGCGATCTCCCGCTCCGCTGTTCGGGCTTTGGCGATGGCTTCCTTCGCAGCATTAATATGCTCGACATTACTTTCGGGGCCTTTCTTTCCTTCCTCAACCTAGCAATAAATTTAGAATCTTAGTCCTCCTGACAGCACAAGATAAATTGTACATAGTAGCATGTAGGAAATTTGTCACTCACCAGCAAACTATTGAGCTTGGCTATAGCATCCTCAATCTTCTGCTTCAATGTCGGGAGGACCTTTTTGGTTTCTTCGAGAGCCAGACGCTATCAAAACAATTGTCAGCGACCTCCTTTTATGCATATCGACCATACTAAGTAAGTTACTTACCTCCTGCCTCAATGTGTACTCTCTGTTTTCGTCATCGCCGCCCTCCTGGGACTCCAGCTTCTTGACTCTTTCCGTCTGCTCCTGCAGCTCACGGTGGTACGAAGCCTCTTCTTTGACCAGGCGCTCGACAGATGCCGTGGCGATCTCCAATTGAGAGCGAGGAGCCATGATGATCGACACTATTGAGTCGGAATTAGAGTCTATTGCACTTCTGCGGATAATAAGCCCTAGGACAATAGCATTTCTCCGTGCTGAACACAGAAATAATGAGATTGTGGCCTGACTCTAGCTTAATGACTCGAGGCGGGAAGCTTTAGGAGCTCCGACAGGTGCCAAACGAGACGTTGCCAAAAATGGCAAATAATCGTACTTAGTAGTAGTTGAACTTACCTGGACAGTACTTTTTGACTAGGTAGGTTTTGGGGGAGGGTAAGCAAATGTTCCCAGGTCAAGTGTGGAGAATATAGCTCAGGGAGATTGAAGGTGTTCTGAACTTGCTAGAGGAGTTTACTGCGTAATGCTGCTCTTGCTCGTCTGCCCCTCCGCGATGATGCTATAGAGGAGCAGTTTGCAGTGTTTGTCCTAGTGGAGAAGGTGGGACAGCACGTGACATACGAGAAAGATGGATTGGGTAAAGAAGGAAAGCAACCCGACCAGCGAGTATATCGTTACAGCGTGCTACTTTGCGATTGATCTATCTCCGATTTGGACCGAAGAAGCGTGGAATCTGTCATCATGCATATTCAAGGGATCTCTGGTCTAATCAGTACTAGCAACTCAAGGGGTATTCCATTAACTATTCAGCGAACATATGATCTAGCAATCTTTCTCCAACACGTCGTGTTATCTGGCCCAGTGGTGGCATACTATTCATGGCAATACTGCAATCCTCCTCGTCTTGATGGTGTGTCTGTGACAATAAGAAGCATTCAGCAATCGCTACAATACGCGAGTCAATACATAGAAACATCCATCAATACCATTCCTTCATCTGATGCAGGGAACTTTATAGGGGTTCAGAAGGGTCTTAATTCAAAGAATGAGACTCTGTCTGAAGGGGCTTGCCGTTCAAATCCTTGGACTTTGGCATCTCAGCAAACCATGACGGTGGGGCTATCCCGGTCTGTTCATGGATTGTGCTCAAGATAGGAGGGAGGCCCTGCATAATATTTCGAATCGGTGCCATAGCATCTGGCGAACCGTTTCCATGGTCTATTGCTATGTCAGAATTCGTGATAATTTCCAGTAGACGATATGCTGGCAATACTAACCTCCGGTATTCCAAGTGGTGATCTTCGGCTGGAGGCCACTGATAGCACGACCATTTGCATCGGCCAACCTTTCATAGGTGCCAGACTCCAACATTCTGTACTGCAGGAACGCCTGAGGACCACCGAGAACATCAACGAGCGCACCATATGCCTTTGCCATCTCGAGGATTCCTTCGGCTTCTCGCTTTTGGGTGTAGAAAGCTGCATCTGCGTCTTTGCTCTGGCGATAATCTATGGAGAAGTCAGCATTAGTTTGTCGCTGAAGGTCATCGACGACTTACAGGTTGCGTCTGCTTCCATTTTACTCTTATACAATTCTGCATCCGCCGCCTTCTGTTCCGTATAAAAGGCAGCGTCGGCCTCTTCCTGAGAAGACTCACGCTCAACCTTGCTTTTTGTGACCTGCTCGGCTCTGAGACGTTCTAACTCCGTCTCTGCGCGCTTGCTTTCCACTTGTTTCTGCAACTCAGCGTCTCTCATTTCCGTCTGACGCTGAGCTGCGATCTTGTTAAGTTGGACATCAGCATCCAGTTCAGTTTTGCGGTTTGTAAGCTCTGAGTCTGCCTTGGCCTTCTCCGCCTTGCGCTTTGTTTCTAGAACAGCGGTGTCGGCATCAATCTTGGAAATCTCCTGCTTGGTTCTGCCCTTTTTCTCTGCCTCTCCAATTTCACCTTTCATTCGTGCCTCTGCAACATCAATCTTAGCTTGGTTGAGGGCTCCCTCGTGAGCCTTGCGACTCAGAAAAGCAAAATATTCGCTTCCAGGGGTATCTTGAAGCTCCTTTACGTTGGCATTATAACTATGATTTATTAGAATTGATGATACCTCCTCAACAGGCTGGAACTTACATCCTTAGGCCGAATTGCTGAAGTTCATTTTGAACGTTCTCGATCACTTCCTCAGATGTTAGCAAAACAGTGACTCGGTTAGTTAGCATATCGCCACTCACCTTTCGTCTTGAATATCTGTCTCTCCTTGAAGATCTCCTCCATGGACATGCTAGAAACAATCACTCGTGTTTCACCTTCGATGATTCCTCGAACGATATCCTGGACATGGTTCTGCTTTGCTTTGCTATTCAGGTCCCTCTTTTGGGCAGGATCAGCCTCGTCTGTACAGCCCGAAAGAAGCAGCGCATATTTCCTGAGTGCGCCCGGCTCATTGTCGGGGCCTATGGTAAACACTGCTGGCAGAGAAAACTGCAGCTTCTCGATTGTCATAGCCTGTAAGCTAAGCGAGAAATCATACGGTGCTACAGATATCCTCGAACACTATTCAAGAACATGTCAGCTATGCTCTTGACACTTCTCTGATTGAACCTTACCCGCTGAAGTGGCCACACAAATGCCTTCTTGCATACTTTGATGTCATCAATCCCGGCTCCAGTGAGAACAAGATATTCGCTCGGTCGAGATATCGCGTACCTGTAGCATGCATGCATAAGATACAAGCTTCGACTTGCATTGATCTAGAGACTTACCACATGGCTGCGGTTTGTGGAGGCTTGGATGATATTATAGTTCAGTAAAAAATTGCTGTGAATGGTACTGTCGATCTTTCTTGCTCGAACAATTTGATGAAGTGTTGTACGCTAATCCTTGAGAATATGGCAGGAAGTTGACTCATGGCACGAGGACGTCTTTATATCCCCTCGTCTTTACATTACGCTATTACTACAACATCTGTTCGAGCCTTCCAGGAACCGAGGACACCAGGGCGCAGTCATCCATCGTGCGTATGACTTTCATCATGAACTCTGTGTACGAGTTTACGAAGGGCAACTTCCACCCACAACGTTAATCTTTATACCATCAGAGTAGTGATCAGTCTCCGGTCATCATTATAGTATGAGGCATAAAAAGCTATACAGAGCCTTGGCAGCGAGGCTATGCACTTGCCGCAACGCCCGATGGGGCGCATTACTGGCCAAGCCCGCCTCACTTTTCAGTTAGGTAAACGGCAAGGCTGCGGAGATGTATTCCGGGGAGGGCCCTATTCTGCAGGCGGATAATGCCACTATAACAATGCTACTCGGCCTGAGTTATAGATCATTGCGAGCAAATGATGACGGGCCATTCCCAAGAAGGACAACCAAGCACTGTGGAAGTCACATGGCGACTGCATACTTATACAGGGGCCAACAACAGCCACATCCAGATGTAGCAGTAATATTCCAGCACAGCCAACACTACGTGTGCCTAATAACCTGAAGATAGCTACTATTGTAGAACCCACTCTCCATTGTCCGCAATGAGAACGTATAACATCGTCTTGGGCGGTGAGCCTCCAACAGTCGGCAGAATCCGAGCTTCCGCCTGACTTGGCCTCAATGAACCAATGAGGTCATGACGAGACAGCTGTCCGCCCTGAGCCTGACGCAGGCGCATTTACCACGTACAAAGGCTCAATGGCCTTACGTTCATCTCATCCTGATCGTCGGTGACCATCTCACATGCCTTCTTCAGATGCCTCTCACTTCTTCCTTATATCCGATATTCCTTCCATGCCACTTTTTTGGTTATTTTTTGGTGCCCATCCCGATAAACCACCATGCCGCCACCATCACTTTTGCAGCTCTGCACGGCGACTGCGATTAGGAACGTGAAACGTATGCAACGCACAATCTCACAATCAGAAGACCTCAACAGGGTACTTACAATCGACGCTTATACAGAGTTAAACGACATCGGCAACATTCCCTATGTACTTGCTCGACCATTTCTACTGAAAGTGGAGAGTCCTGAGAAACTGGTGAGTCTGTAGCGGAAATCCCCCGTCCATCGTCAGTGCCCCTTTGACTAACTGTCAAACTCACCCCACATTACAGAGAACTCTGGAGCTACAGTCCCCACATTTGATGCGAGATGACGAAGAACTCTGGCTAGAGTTCATCAAGAGAGATATCCCGCGATGGGACGAATACGATCTACCTGAGAAACCCGATTGTTGGTATGACGTATATTGTGACCTCCGGGAACAAGTCCAACGGGCAGTGGAAGAGGATGCTGAAAAGCTGAAGATGGCTTTAGATGGCATCAGCTCGGAGCGTCAGGAGAAGAGTGCCAAACTCGTTACCGACCGACGAATTATCGGTCTTCCCCGAGAGAGGCCGACCGCGAGGCAACGATATGCTTCATACGATCGGAGATTTGGCGGCTCACCAACGTCGTCATCCTCAATGCCCTCCTGGGCTTTTGGTAGGCCGAGGGAGACAAAGAAGAAGAATAGCATATTCACGGCGACGAAGAGGAATAACGTTCTTGCTGTGCCCACAAAGCACCTTAATAACAGAGCTACCCAGGTCAGACAGGCTCCGCGCTCGCTTATCGAGGACCATATACGTCCTGCTGAGCCCCCTGTCGCTCGACGCAAGGAGGCCCCAGCTCTGAGAGTGCCTGGTCGGTCACGTCTCCAGATGAGTGCGCCCTCCGTGAGCCAGAATAGTCTGGAAGTTGGTCCCAGCTTGCGGGAAAGAGAGGCTCGTTTACGAGCAATAACCCAATCGCATAGCCCTGCCACATCCGATAGGCCTATGGCAGGAAGAAGTGCACAGGCATCACAGCCAACGAGAGGCCCGTCCGGGTCTCTATCAGGGGCTGCGGCCAAGAAACAGACCTCCCAACCGCTCGGTAGCAGTGCGACTGGCTCTCATCAGAAGTCTGCCGTAGAGGACATGCCAGCGTCTCCGCCACAGCCACCCCGTCCGGCAGTGGTCCGCAAACGTCCTGCCCCGAACCTCTTCATTCAACCAAAGAAGAAGAAACTGAACTGATTGGACATATGCTGGTCCCAAGAAAGTCAACCTGCATTATTAGATACACAAATCACTCATAATATATAGGAATGGTGTTTAGTACTGGCGTGAGTCTGGTTCATCGTTTCAGCTGATGGCGTTTTGCAAATGATACCACAGAAGGCGTTCTTTCGATCTCATATACCTGGATATCGCAGGCTCAGGTCAGGTGCTATAATAGGCATTTTGCATGTTCCACCGGGGATCTCGCAACTTATATCGGTAAATTGCTGCGCAGCAATCTGTTTGGCAAACTCAATGAAGTGCAACATTTGGTTCTCGAGCATATCATCCCTCCTCTCCATATTAATCATGTTTATACCCTCCCCTTATCACATACACGGGCTGTACAGTCAGTCTCATCTTATATAAGAAACCAATCACACATATTAATCCCCACTCCCCTCACGGGGATACCAGATAATCGAAACCACTAACCAATCTCCATCTTCTGCAAAAAGTATGTAAAGAACTGTCATTACTGCATTGTTGGTTTGTAGCTCATTAAAACCCCCCATCCAGCCCCAGGATCGAAACCTACATGCATGCTCATAGCCCCGAAACAAGAAACCAACGCTACAAAGCGTTCAGAATACCGGCTCTGAAGCATCATACAGATATCTTCCTCTTTACTCCATCCCCCTTCTGTCACACCATACACATTCACAAGCATCCACCACGCAGGGCAAGAACAAGGTGTAGCGTGGCACCACCTTCCAGGTTATATTCCGAAGCAGTCTTGTCGTCGGCCCTATGGTCACAGAAGTCTCTCTATTAGCACTGGTGACCCATAACATAGCGATTATACATCCCCCGGGAGTAGGGATAGGGAAACGGGTGTGTGCGTACATCTGCTTTCCACCGAAAATCAATCGCTGCTGGACAGGAGGAATACCCTCTTTCTCTTCGACGCGCTCCTTTATCCGGGAAACCTGCGTATTGTACCTGTTAGCTATCGATTGCGCGAAGAACATATCAGTAGGGTAGATGGGGTGGCTGGTCGTGTGTGAGCGGAGGTTATTGCAGCCCGGCTGGATAGGCCAGCTAGGCTAGCTAAACAATCACCACGCGCGGATGGGCGAGATCGCAAAAATAGATATGTCTGTGAAGGGATGCGTGTATGTATGTATGTACCTTGTAATCAGGCTCGATGTCCAACTCGATCTCCTTTCCGGTAAGTGTACGGACTCTGTTGAGGTTGACAACCGGTTAGCATTTGCTATCGCGACAGAGGGGAGGCTATCTGCGTCATGGGGGCGGAGGACAACAACTCACTTGATCAACATTTTTGAGGTTAAGATAGATAGCGACTGTAAGGTATTCGTAGAGTTTAAGTTGCTACAGTAGAGGAAATAATAAGACCGAGTAATTTCAAGGAACAAAGACGCTCTAATATAATAGTAGCGAAGAGAACGACGATGGTGGTGGTGGTGGAGGTTGTTGTTGACTGGGCTCAGCTGGTGACGGAAAGCTTCGGCGGGGTTTTTGGTGGGGCATCAAAATAACTACGGAGTAAGCCGCTTCATAGGAACTAACTACTACTTCGCCCCGGCTGGGATGAATGTTGGTGTTTGGGTTGTATGAGAGGGTGTAGTAGTTGATATGGTTTTGTTGGATTGTATTGAGTAATGGTGATTTTCTTTTACTTGTTAAGTTTCAGATACTCTGCGCTAATTGTTCGGAATATGCTTTGACTGCTTATCCTGGTCTCAATGTACCCTTAACGGGACTGGGATATATATAGCACCAGCCCTTGGCGATCTATTCAATCTTACTCAAACATCCCTCAAATACCACCATTCTACGAGTTTGCTACAAAAGCACACTGTAAATAGGCGTCACATCCTGCACCATGGGAAATACTGTCGAAGAAGCCAATCCATTTGATGTTCTCATTGCAGAATGTCAAGATGACCCAGTACATATCCCAACAGCTCTTTCAAGAACAACATTCCTGACAAACCCGATCACAGAAACAAATCCAAGCTCGATATGAAGCTCACCGGTCCAACCGCAACAAGCAATACAGGGAAAAGCTTCTCAGCCCCGATTTCAAAGGCTGGCAGGTTGACGATATCCTGAAAAAGTTGCATGCAAGCGTCAACGGCGAAACACTGCCTTTTGTCGATCCTCGGCATAACCTCACACTATACGCTCGACCCCCGCAGCATATCCGGGACTTGGTCGCTGAGGTCCAACAGGCCATTCAAGAAATTGCCCCAAGTTAGTTCTATCTTGCCTTTGCGGGGCACTCTCTGTATCCCGTGTGCTGTATTGCCTGGTTCAACTGATCGGTTCCATTTCACCTTATTGCTAGGCGTATGGTTCACACCCCCAGAGCAATTGCATATGACTACATTAGAGATCGCCAGCTGTCGACCTGAGCCAGAGGTTGAAGGATTGGTTTCTCATCTTCAGGGTAGTGGCGTCGTGCCGAAGCTGGTGGATTTTCTATTTCATCATCGGACACGGCTGGTCAAGCCTATGATCAGTTACGATGCAACTGCCATGGCGCTGAGTTTTGTCCCTGCTGCTGGAGAGGAGACTACAACTGCCCACAATGTGGACCGCGATGGATACACTTATCACCATCTGCGACGTGATGTTTCGAGTATTGTCACAGCGACGGGATTACAAATGAAGCCGAGGTATATTGCACTCTCAGCACATATTACGATTGCGCGGTTCATCACCCGGGACGGATTTGTGATAGACAACCCCGATAAAGTGGAAGACGAAGCGGTGGACCATGCGCGGGTGGCCGCACTGGTAGAGAGGGTGGAGAAGATTAATGAGATGCTCCGGACGAAATACTGGTTTCAAGGAGACGGAACCATCTCTGGGAAAGGGGAATGGCTTGTCGGACAGGAAAAAGGATTGGAATTTTGTAAAGGAACGTCTTTCTACGGCGGAGGAGAAGCCGTTGTTGTCGGCAAAGGCTTTCAGTAAAGGGTCTCTGATTAGCAACAACCCAGTATGAATAACCTAGACAGTGGGTGAGCGAATGAATACGATTCGATAGATAACTATGGGGATGGTATGGGTCTTTGCCTGAGGCAACCACTAACCACGGGCGGTCTTGGCGGGTGGCACACAAACGCGGTTAGGCCGCACCCTAAGCGAACGAAATCCCACAACACACGGCCAGCCCAACTCGATCCTCCCGACAAGAGACTATCAACGACCACCAAGTTCGCGATCCGGCCAAGTCAGTCAAAATGGTAAGGATATTGTTCTGATCGTTTATCAGTCTTATTTCCGTGTTCCTGGGCGTCGGAGAAGTGTTTTCGGTCAATCGACATACTACGAGATGGGACGACATACGGCAATCTTTTTCCACGGCGAATCGAGATGAAAAGTGGCACTATACGAAGCGCAACGATCGAAGCTGCAAACGAAAACCCTGAGCTGTCAATATGAATGCAAAATGGTTAAAGAGATGGAATTTTCGACCGGGGAAATGCCCCGCGATTAATTGTGGGATGAAGTGAGAGATGCTGAGTGCGACCGAAAACCATTGAAAAAACGAATTGCTCTTGAGTGACGACACCCTTGCTATATCAGCATCTGCTTTCTTTCTCGCTTCTTCGAATCAATACCATTCCCACCGTGAAACACCATCTCCGACGACGAGGAACTCAGGAACAGACTGCGGACGTTCTATAATACCATCCTACCACAGCAGGGGCTGATCAAACTTCTCTCGCTTTCAGGTCAACGTTCCGAAAACCCGCCGGACGTACTGCAAGTCCAAGGAGTGCCACAAGCACACCCAGCACAAGGTCACCCAGTACAAGGCTGGAAAGGTGAACACTGCCCAAGCAAAACCGAGCCCACCGCGCGACCTATGCTGATGCAATCATGATTCTCTACAGGCCTCCCTGTTCGCCCAGGGTAAGCGTCGTTACGACCGGAAGCAGAGCGGTTATGGTGGTCAGACCAAGCCCGTCTTCCACAAGAAGGCCAAGACCACCAAGAAGATCGTTCTCCGTCTTGAGTGCACTGCTTGCAAGACCAAGAAGCAGCTTTCTCTGAAGCGCTGCAAGCACTTCGAGCTTGGGTACGTTCATATGCTCAGCAAACAATCGATAGGTGATGCTAACCACATCTTTTTCTTTCTCAACAGTGGTGACAAGAAGACCAAGGGTGCTGCTCTTGTCTTCTAAATTTACGGTTTTCTTGTTCGGCTCTGGGTTTCATGCATTGCACAGACCGCAATGCTGCGGCGGCGGCTATGACATCGGCAATGGAAGATGGAATAGGATCTCATATTCAAGAAAAAAATGAAAGAATATATGACTCCTAGTTGATGAGTCTCTTGACGAACTATTGTGCTGCATCGTGGTGTAGGGAGTGTAGAGAAGATGAATTTCCCTGAAATTAACGTGACGTAGAGCACTATAACCCGGCTGCCCCTTATCTTGATATCGTCAAGGGTCTTGCCTTACCAACAGCGTTATCATCTACCACGACTCATGTTCCCACCCCAGTGTCCGAGAAGACGCGCTAAACTACTCCGAGATTATAGTATGTCCGGAAAATGTTGGACGCACCAAGCGTTAGTCGATTAAGATTAGAAGGCTATCGACCATTTACTTAGCATACATCTTCAGGGCACTTATTTGATTTCGACGCGAGGCAGAATTGGCGTAGATTCAACACCAATGTTCGATTTATCTATTTAGCCAATCATATTCATGTCAAAAGTCTGGCCTAATCTGCGATATATTGGACGGTTCTGTATAGCCTCCTCCACATACGATGAAATTTACTAACATTCGTTCGGGTTTGTTAAATACTTTATGACGATAAAGAAGCTGTCTGTGAGACGTTGAGCCACAATCAGAAAGGGATTTGTTCATTCTATTAGTGCTAGCTAAGTACGTGATGAAAAGGGCACTACCGCTGTGCAGTTCTGCAACCAGCGGGTGCGGCGGTCAATGAACCAGTTTTCTGCCGCTCAAGCAGAAAACGAACAGTTTCGCAACTGAGTTTTTTGGGACTGTAATTTCTTAAATCCGCTTAAATCCTGGGTTTTTGGAACGAGGTTCGCTAGGTTCTGCCGCTATAAGCGGTCTGAAGAGCGGTGAGGGGTTGACTCTTTTAATGGTTCTTGGGGTACGGAGTACGGTGATGGGATTGATTGTAGGTCCTCGAGGCTCATTGATCAGAAGAAAGCAGGCTTGAACTACTCTGTAGTTGTTTGGTATCTCAATTCTAGTTGACGGGAAGATATTCTGCGGAATGTGGCGTGATCAAGATCTTCGATATAGCACAAGACGTAGTCAGTCCATCTGCCAAAACAAAACCTCACTTTCTTCCTCGATAGAGTACTGAGTACTCCGTTCGGTAGTCACACACAACACACAGCCACTACGCCATTCATTGATTGACCTTGGGTGAATTCCATGGTTGGACTTTTGCTTAATTGCTACTCCGTACCAGATAGACAGTAATGGGACGCTAGTGTCTTTACAAACCAGACTCCCTCTCTAGCTTAGGTACTAAATTCTATTCAACTGTACAATACTTCTTCTCCAACCAGTCGGACAAGCCGACCAAATTGATGAAAAAGGGTGTTCGCGTCGATCAGGGGTAGTGTAAGCCCGATGACACTGTGTAGCAAGACATGCGCAAGCACAGAGGTCCCGCCACGGGGTGCAAAAATAAGATTAATCAATGTTGTGTTCCTTAGAACACTTTCAGAGATTAAACTGAAAAGAACAGATACTACACTTGATCTAAGCCAAAAGGCAAAGAGAGCTGGAGAAGAAAAGAAGAAAAAGTCTAAAGAGAGGGCGGGTGCAGCGAGACTTTATACCCTGGCGGCTTGGGCGAAATGGCGCTAGTGTGACTAGTGTCGATTAAGCGAGGAATTTGCCGGGGTGTTGTGAGGGAAGCGAGTCCTTCCGCTTTGGGGTTAGTGGATTGATGCCTGTTTGTCCAGGCCGTCAATGGGTTTGCGGAGTATACTGGCGAGATGTTTCTGACTGTCCCTTCACCTACTTTGATTGTTGCATCGATTTTAGGGTGGTTAAGTCTCTATGGAATTAAAGCTGTGACACACTATAAGTCTAGACTTGCCATACAGTGGGCATGAAGCGGGTATGTCTTCACTGGTAGTGAGTAGTACCACTAGTCTTATATTTGTGAGAGATATATATTATATAGTGCATCTAATGGTCACAATACTAGTGCTGTAAATATACTACGTAGGCTTAGAAAAGTGGCATGATGACTGCAGTAGTGTTATCGATCTCGGAGATTAGACAAAATCCAGCCTAGCACGATCTACTCTCAACCCTTGTACATGAGCTTTCTACTATTCATGTGTTTTTTCCATGTACACATGGCTGCAGAGGGGGGAGTAACCGATTGCGGGAAGTCACAAGACGACGGACTTTTGGACGTTTCGAATATTGGAAAAGATCTCCCCTTTCCCCTCCCGTAATCACTTTAGTTCGCACTTTCTTTGGAACACTTCTTCAATTGCTCAAGCCTTTTTTGCGTGATTGTCGCACCAGTCTTTGCTCTAACCGCGTTGGAAAGTATGCCGCATGGATCAAGCTCACTCCAACCATTCTTCCGGCCGATAGAAGACACAAGTCAATG